TTTCCTTAGTGTGGCAACCCAAACCAAACTCCAGAAGCGACCGAAAAGTAGCAGCACAACTACTTCAAGGGTCTCTCCTAAACCCTAAAACCCTAAACCCTGAATCCTAAACGCAGAGACCTTAGGCATGACGTTTCAGACCACACATCCGGCGCTGGCACACAAAACGTTGAACTTCTCGGGAGGTGACATGTGAGCCCTCTCCTTGAATTTCTTTCCTTGTCTGAACCTACATGAAACCCAAAGTGCCTCCATATCAAAAGGACCCCTAAACCCTAAACCAAAGTCTAGGGCCTAGGGAAGCGGAATGTCAGCGTGTTTGTGTGTGTGTTTGTGTGTGTTTGTGTGTGTGTCTGTGTGTTTGTGTGTGTGTGTGTTAATGACTCGCGTTGCTTCGGCCCCAACTTAGAGCCCAAGGGGTTGGGTTTAGGGGCTTCGCGAGCTTCGCGGTTTGGGGACGAGTGTTTCATATACCGTAGCTAAACCCCAAAAAGTTTGTAAAATAACGGCCCAACACCTCTCACCGCGGAATATTCGGCATGCTTTTCGGGTCCAGGTGAACTCTGAAGCCAACGAAACATAAGCCTGCCTGCAACCAACAACCCTGGTCCTAAAGCCTGAATCCTCAAAACGAACCCTAAGGGTCCATGTACCCAAATACTATATACGTTGGCCCCAATGTACCTATATAGGGACTACTTTAAGGCCAAAGTATATACTATTTGGGTACATGGACCCTTAGGGGAACTCGGGTTTCCCGCAAACTGCCAGACTGGGTGCTCGTAGATTGCACGTACAAGATGTAGCCGGGCTTGATATCCTCACTCGCTGGGCTTAGCAAAAGCTTGGCGATATGAGGTTTCTGACTCCAGTCGTAAACTGAATCCTCTTCTCGACATCCTCTAATCACGTACAATAGTTATTAACAAGGTGCATGAAGTTGCAGGACATTCAGGCATGAAGGGGCACTGAGGCTTTGATAGGTTTAGGAACCACCTCGCAGAGTGACATATACCTATATTATATATAAGTACAAGCGTATATATATATATATATATATATATATATATGCTGAAGCTTGAGTGCTTAGAATAAGTTCTTAAGGGTTCTATAAAGCACCATATGGCTTTATGCGGTCATGTCATGGTGGGTTTAGTATTTTTTGGGGGTGGGGGAGGGGGGTGAAATGTTCTGAGATTCTGAGAGTAGGTGCCTGTAAGCTGACAGGCTGTGAACATTTCCGAAAGTAACAGGAGCTCCCGTATACAATGGTCTCAGGCACAAACTCTGAAGCCAGAAACGTATTCAGCAAGCCCTGAACCCTAAACGCTGAACCGTCCGAAACCCAGAGGTCACCTCACATATCACCAGAAGTCCCTAGTAGCACCGATGAGCAGGGGTGGGATTGGGTGTTCCGACCATGTTGGCAGAGGGACCATAATCATTGTTTTTACCATTCCGGATAATGTAATTTCAGTGTATATACACAGCAAGTCCTTTGATTCCGAATCCCGGGTCACGGTATCGGAGATTTTTCGAGGGAATCAGGGCAGTAGCGGCGGATCTAAAGATGCTACTGGAGGCTCCGACTTTTTATGGGCCACGGTCTAAGGGCAAGGTTCACAGTGTCAGGTTGCGGGGGTCAGTGCTTTAAGGTTGACCTGTCTGTAATTAGGTGACCCTCTTCCCTCTTTAATGCAAATTTCCAGGGGCTGCTTCAGGATTTGGCTAATACTTGGACCGTCCTCCGCAACGTGCAAAAAAGTCGCCCGGATATGTTGTTTTGCATTTTCCTTTCTGCTCATAGTCAAGCTTGACTGAACATAGGAGAACAACAGTAACAAACAGGCCGGAGAAAACTTATCCTAGCAGGCCTTAGGCAACCAAGTCTGCCGGGGAGTGCAGGTTGAAGGAGAAAGTCTCCAAAATGAAGAGCTGTAGCATTGGTAGTTATGTTGGAGTGATCGGGGCCCTGGACAGCTAGGTACCCCTGCTCAAAACCCTCCTACTGAACAGTACTACTGCTCTACTGCTATGCTACTACCGTACTACTACTGTACTCATACTCTACTACTACTACGACGACTACTACGACGCGTGCTACGACGACTACTACGACGACTACTGCTACTGTTACTACTACTACTACTACGACGACGACGACGACTACTACTACTACTACTCCTGCTGCTACTACTACTACTACTACTCCTACTGCTACTACTACTACTACTACTACTACTACTACTACTACTACTACTACTACTACTACTACTACTACTATTGTGCTAGTACTGTACTACTAGTGTGCTACTACCGTACTTTTTTTCTACTGTTACTGAATTATCTCACTACTACTGAATTTAGTAGAGTACTGTACTGCTGAGCACTGCTGCCGTACACTCTACTCGAGATCCCCCTGTACAGCGCAGGAAACACATTGTTCAGGCCGCCGGGAGATGGTTGGGGGGTTGACGACAGTGCAACATGATAAGGTTGTAATGCACAGGGAGACCCGTAACACCAACATGAGAAGAGTCTGCAACTCATGTTCGCGGCGCAAGGCATGCAGGGATTAGGTTTTAGGAGTTAGTGTTGTGGGCTTAGTGGGCTTGCGAGCATTACAGCGATCAGGACCTTAGGGCGCGCCAAGAAACTACCCTAAGGCTCCATAGTGGTTCCTTTTTGGGATTACCTGATGGGATTCTCGACATGAACCCCAAAAAGGAACTACTATGGAGCCTATGGGTAGGCCATAAAGCTTGAAGCAAAGATCCGCTGGTCCCACGGTGATGTTTCCGACAGACAGGCCAAGCAGCTTCCGCACCTGAAGGCTTTCAACTCTGTGGCTCTAGGACCAAAGGTCCGGGTATCGAATCCCCAAAGTCCTAGACCCGAAGACCAAAAGCTCTGAAGCCTTCCACCCAGAATCTTAAAAGTCTTCCCTTTCCGGGTGTCCGTATACACTATTCCTTTGGCGTTTACGGATGTGAGGTTTCTGGAACAAATCCAGATCCTCCTTAACAGTTCCTTATCTCGGGTGCTGCTGCCCTTTTTCTTCAGGAAAGGGTCCAGGACAGTGACAAGCATAGGTGGAGGATGAGCAAAACACATCAACATCATCAGCGTCGTCATTACCACCATCATCATCATCATCATCAACCACAGCAGGAAAAGCAACAGTAGCAGCAGAAGCCCCAGCAACAGGAACATCAGCAATCAGAGCAAACGCAGCCAATACCCCTACTCATGAGCATCAATTACGCATCAGATGCATCAGTCGCAACAGAAACTGCATAACATACGATGTGTCACATGCTGCAACAGATGCCAGTACATCAACATGTTGTAACCTGAAGGTGGCAGGCTTCAACGATGTTCAAGCTAGCCTTCTTCTGCTTACTCTTCCCCTCCCCACAGCCAAAATGCGTGTGAACATGCTGTGGTTGTCCAAGGTCTTGGTCATGTAAAGTCATGTAAGCATGGTTACTGGGCAGTACGTTGCAGCAGCACGAGGTTCAGCAACAGCACGTGCCTTTCTCATTGCTCTGTCGTCACGGAACCCGAATAGCTGGCCACATCGAGTCAGAAACGTCGGTCGAATCAAAATACGTCAAGAGTGCCGATTTGAGCCAGAAGCCCCAGCCGAATTGATGAAGCACTGGCCAGGACACTCCTTGTACCCTCAAATAGGGGTATATGGTCCCAAATAAGGGCATTAGGGTCTAGTAGAGGGTAGATGGAGGGTCTAGGGGGGCTCTAATGACTGAGTGGGGTTCCGGGGTGCCCTAAACGATCGAATCCTGCAACCCAGATCCCCAGGACAGCAGTCCCCAGAGACTCCAAACCTCAATGCAATACCACCCAAGCATGCGCATGCTCGAAGGCACCGCAACCCTTGGTATCCACATGTAAGCCTAGGCAAAACCTAACAAACTTTTGAAATCCGTGCAATATGGATATCCTTTTATATAGTTTTCTCAGGAATATGGGGGTTTCCGAAAACAGGGGATCCTAATATATTACCTCAAACAGCAGGATCCTTGTTATAGGGACCCCAAAATTTTCGGGAACTCCCATATGTTGGTCTTTTGGTGGTTTTGGCTTACCTTTTCCGATGACCCAGAGACTCCAATACCCCTTAATTAGGGAATTATTCCTTAAATCATATTATGGGTCCTGCTATAATTTCAGGTATATTCCTTAGTTAAGGGGTATTGGTGTGTTACCAGCCAGGGTTGCTAGGTTGTCGGTTTAGGCTCAAGCTTCAGACTACCCACAGGCCCCAGAGTAGTTCCTTTTTGGGCTTTTAAAGGACTCTAATATGAACCACAAACAGGAACTACTTTGGGGCCTATGGGCAAGCAGTTGTTTAACTAAGAAAAACGTTCTTGGATTAACCCTAAACCCTAAACCCTATTCCCCAATGGCTCCATGTACCCATATAGTAGGTACTTAGGCCTTAAAGTAGCCATATAGGGACCCTTTTAAGGCCCAAGTACCTACTATATCGGTACATGGAGCTCTACTTAAAGGACCATGGGACTTAGTAACTAGGGTTATAATTAGGGTAACTATACTTATAACCCCAATTAAGGTACTTATAACCTTACTTACTAAGTCCCATGATCCTCCAAGTAGGGTTCAGACGAAGCAGGCTGTTTAAGCAAGGCGCCGCAGCGCTGCCAGACACGAACTTTCCTGCCTTGCACGCCACGAGGCCCTTTGTTGCAGACACCTTCTCCTTGGCTGCCTAGACTAGGGTTTAGGGTTTAAGGTTTAGGGTTTAGGGCCTAGGGTATAAATGCCCTTTATTTGGGACCTTATACCCCTATTTGAGGGTACAAAGAGGGTCCTGGCTGTGAGGGAAACTTCACGGCAAAATTGAATTGCGGACGTTTATTGCACAAGGGCTCATACGAGCAAAAGAAATCCAAAAACGTTTTGCTTAGTTAAGCATCTGTGTACCCATAGGCCTCAAAGTAGTTCCTTTTTGTGGCTCACATATAGAATCCTATAAGGCAATCCCAAAAAGGAACTACTATGGGGCCAGCTGAGTAGAGTAGTAATGACTTCAGACCTAAGTCTCTTTGCGGTCAAGCTTGTAGTATCCACAGCCTGTGGTGTAAGGCACACCTTCCGCCTCGCACAGCTCCTTGACAGTCGCTGCCTTTGTCAAGGAAACCTGCGTGAAGCCCTTCGCAGCCATCGCGGCTAGAGCCACACCCTAAGCCTTAAACCTACAGATACCCAGTGAAGCTCGTAGAAGGGGGGGGATATTCATCGAAACCCCAATACAGCCTGAAGCTTCACTACGAAGCTCGGGCCGAAAAGCTGACGTGCCATGTCAGAGGGTGAAATGAACAAAATGCCTTGCCTTGCACATGGTCCCTACAGGTCCATGTGCTAGTTTGACAACCACCCGTAATACCCATATCCTAAAGCCTACACCCCCAGACTTCTGGAGCCCCAGACCCTTCTACGCCCTATCAGCGACATGCTTTGCACATGCTCGCCCACGGTGTTCCCCTTGTGCAAGGATGCGATAAAGTCCGAAAGCAGCTGTGGAGCCTGATGTGATACATACCAAGCTATACATACCCTGCACTTAAGGAATAAAGGGTGTCTATATTCGATTAACTTGGCTCCTTTGCATGTGCATCTATCTGTATGTATGTGTATATGTATGCACGTATGTATGTATGTATGTAACTACTATACTACCGCTACTACTACGACTACCACTACCACTACCACTACCACTACCACTACCACTACCACGACCACGACCACGACCACGACCACGACCACGACCACGACCACGACCACGACCACGACTACGACTACTACTACTACTACTACTACTACTACTACTACTACTACTTCTTATACTTCTACTACTACTTCTACTACTACTATCCACACGTCCAGTGGCCTGGAGATGCCGTATGGTTGATGATATAAATCCTGCATTACCCATAGTAAGGAATATACCATAGTTCCCATAGTCTCGGGTCCTTACGGCCATGCAGGATCTATATCATCCACCCTAAACCCTAAACCCTAAAACCCTATAGATCCCTCAAATGAACCCCTAAAGGTACCCCTAGATCCCTTTCAAGGAACCCACCCTAAACCCTAAACCCCTAAACCCCTAAACCCCTAAAACCCTAAACCCCTAAAACCCTAAACCCTAAACCCTAAATCCTAAACCCCTAAACCCCTAAACCCCTAAAACCCTAAACCCCTAAACCCCTAACCCCTAAACCCCTAAACCCTAAACCCCTAAACCCTAAACCCTAAACCCCCTAAAAACCCTAAACCCCTAAACCCCTAAACCCCTAAACCCTAAACCCCTAAACCCTAAACCCCTAAAACCCTAAACCCTAAACCCTAAATCCTAAACCCCTAAAACCCTAAACCCCTAAACCCCTAAAACCCTAAACCCCTAAAACCCTAAACCCCTAAAACCCTAAACCCCTAAAACCCTAAAACCCTAAACCCTAAATCCTAAACCCCTAAACCCCTAAACCCCTAAACGCGGGAAGGGGCCCCCCAGCCTCGGCCAAGGCGGTCGAGAGCCGAGACTCCTCTGGGTGGGTGCGCAGTACCTGGTCTTAGGACTTACTAAGGGTTCCCTTAAAGGGTTCCTTTAAAGGGATCTGTAGGGATTCTATAAGGGTATAGGGTTTAGGGTTTAGTTTAGGGGTTTAGGGGTTTAGGGGTTTAGGGGTTTAGGGGTTTAGGGTTTAGGGGTTTAGGGGTTTAGGGGTTTTGGGGTTTAGGGACTTGGAGGTTCCTGGGTAGTTATAAGTGGGGTTATAAGTAGGGTAACTATACTTATGACCCATATTAGGGGACTTATAACCCGACTTATATCTACCCATGGACCTCCAAGTAGGGTTTAGGGTTTTAGGATATTCAGCATTTTTCTGATGTTTGGGATGTTTAGGGCTTAGGGTTCTTAGGGTTTTAGGAGTTTAGAGATTTTTCGGATGTTTGGGATGTTTAGGGCATTGGGCTTAGGGTTTAGGGTTTTAGGATTTTAAAGATTTTCTGATGTTTGGGACTTTTCAGGTTTCAAAGTATAGGTCTTTGGGCTTAGGGTTTAGGATGAATGCAGGTATAAGTGTTACGCTCCTGGAGTCTGAGGGAACTGCGGGTATCACTCACTGTGGCCATGCAACTATCACCCAACTGACAAGCTCTCATTGAGACCAAATCCGGAACTCCTCCTCTCACGACCACCCGAAATCGCTGAACCTCCAGATACCAGAAGTCCCAAACAAACCCTCCCGCGCCTACGCAGTCGACAGGACTTTCAATGGTTCCGGCCACCACTAGAGCTAAATCTGATACTATCCAAAACCGTCCAGAATTCCACGCATCTAGGTCGGACTATTGAAGTGCTCTGAAAAACTGTTCGTGCATAAGATTATCCTGAACCCAGGGGCCCAGTAGAAACGGAATATCCCAGTGGCCTACCTAAAACAAGCAACGAAATAATCGTGCAGAGCTCTGTGCAACCGCCCTAAACCCTAAACCCTGGACCCTAAACCCTACTTGGAGGATCGTGGGACTTAGTAAGTAAGGTTCTAAGTACCTTAATTGGGTTATAAGTCGTTGTAAGTATAGTTACCCTACTAGTAACCGTGGTTACTAAGTCCCATGATCCTTTAAGTAATCGCGCAAAGCTGTGTACGTATAAAGCCCTGCAAAGCGCTAGAAAGCCGACGACTGCTTGGACCGCGGGGACGGTTGCCACGGCCAGCACCTGGCTCATACTTAAAGGATTATGGGACTTAGTACGGTTACTAGTAGGGTAACTATACTTATGACTACTTATAACCCAATTATGGCACTTCTAACATTACTTACTAAGTCCCACGATCCTCCAAGTAGTGCCTCTAAAACGCAGCGTGTCGAAGCAGTACCCGGATGATGCTGCATGCGCAGATGAGCCGCACGCCATGGAGTCCACAAAGGGCGGGAGGCGGTGGACCTTGCCAAGGTGATCCTTCCTGGTTGGCCCTGGCAATCGAAGAATCGGGTCAGCATCAGACCAATGAACTTCTTCTGGACCGCGAGGGCGTGATCCTTGTGCATCGCTTGGAAGTTGTCAGTGCAAAGCCACACTATTGCAACAAACCCTGTTGAACGAACCTATCACGTCCTCGAAATCCCAAAACACGAAGACACTACAAAGCCCCACAACTCCAAACACGAAAGCTCCAGACTTTTCAAACCCTGAAGCCCTGCATAAACCCGCACCCCAAACCCTAAGCCCTCAAATAATCCTCCCGAAACCCTGAACCCCTACGCAAACCCCGAACACAAAACTCAAAGCTCCTAAACCCCAAGACATCATATGGGAGTTCCGGAAAAGTAGGGGTATCTTACTTTGGGGTCCTTATAATAAGGATCCTACTATTTTAGGGTACTATATTAGGGTCCCTTATTTTCGGAAACTCCCATATTCCTCAACGGTTTAGGGTTTAGGGTTTAGGAGCCAAAACCGTGAACCCCTAAACCTTATAGACTCCAACCCTGGACCCTATCCCGAAGACAAAACTTCCAAAGATCTCCGCCGGATTTTCCACCTCTGTCAGCTCGACGGAGATTCGGGCAACTTCCCTCCAAACCTTTTCGAATTGGAGGAGGACAGTAACAATTCGGTTTCAGAAAGGGTTTAGGGGTTAGAGCTTTAGTGTTTAGGGTTGACTGGTTACGGGTGCACCGTTAGAGGATTAGGGTTTCAGAACCAGAAAGTCGAGGGCTCCAGGCGTAGGTTTTAATTAGGGTTTAGGATTTACCCTAAGGCCCCAAAGTAGTTCCTTTTTGGGGTTCAGATTTAGAATTCTATACGGTAATCCCAAAAAGGAACTACTTTGGGGCCTATGGGTAGGCTTTGGGATGGTTGAGGTCTTCCCAGAGACTCCAATATCGCTTAATGAAGGAATCTACCTTAAATTACAGTAGGACCCCTAATATGATTTAAGGAATATTCCTTGATTGAGGAATATTGGAGTGTCTGGGTTAGGGTAGGCGTGGCTTGTTACAACCCAGGGCTTAGTGCTTGAAGTTACACTGTCTTCATAGGGGGGGGGGGGCGTTCAAATTGCCATTCCTTTGAAGGTAGCAGTATACTGCATTACTTCTGGCCCGCTACTCCAAGAGGAGCCATGGTCTAGAACCATCCACCGTCGGGGACATCATGGTTCACCACCTGGAGTAATAAAGGGGCTGTACCCAGAGACGCCAACATCCCCAAATTAAGGAGTATTCCTCAAATGATATTAGGGATCCTACTAGAATTTAACGCATATTGCTTAATTATGGGATATTGAAATCTCTGGGTACTACGGTTGATGATATAAATCCTGCATTACCTTAAGGACCCTTGACTATGGGAATTCTGGTATACTCCTTATTGTGGGTAATGCAGGATTTATATCATCAACCGTACCCCCCCCCCACGTTTGACTGGGTCCCGGTTAGAAGGGAAGGAACAGAGGATCCTTGTACTGGACTAGGTCGAAACTGCTTGTGAAATCCAAACCACAGGCTGTCTTATTCTGGGATCCTATCTTTTTATACTTGGGGACTAGAGATATACTAAGACTGAGACCCATGTAGCAACATGAGCCAAGTAGTACTACCAAGAAGCACCCAAACGCGCATATCCGCCATAACAAAAAACAGCAAGAAACTACGTGATTCCATCTGATCCCTTGACCGAGTCCCTCATCCGCCCTTCAGAACCCTTACAGAACCGGGTTATAAGTCCCCTAACATGGGCTATAAGTATAGTTACCCTACGTATAACCCTACATAGAACTACCCATGAACCTCCAAGTAGTAGCGCTAGCCTTGAACCCTAGCCCTACAGCCTAAGCCGGGGAGATCATGAGAGGCTGCCTCATAGGCATCTCTGGATCTCTCATTACCCCGGGGCTTCAACGAATCCCGAAGTAGGTACAGTTTATGACATTTAGGCTAGTTTGGGGGTAAGGCTAGAGCCAATGCTTCCCTGGAACTCACGGTCTAGGGTTCAGGGGCGAAGCCCTTAAGGAATAAGCGGCAATATGCATATATAAATATATATATATATATACACATACATACATACATACATACATACATACATACATATATATATATATATATATATGCTCACACCCCCCCCCCCCACCCCCAAGACCTACCGCGAGGTGCTTCGGCTAGCAATGGGTAGTAGAACATGTAAGGATTTGAGGAAACCATTAGGATAAAATACACTCATACATAAACAATGGAAACGTATATCGTGTATAATCAATAGCTGAATACACTGTAATGACCTACGACGGCGCGACATCGCCGTTGGCGGATTTGGGCAAGCTTCAATGCCTGCAATTGTTTAATAGGATACTGCCTAAATGTTCCGGATATTCATAACTCTGGTCATATAATGACCATAGGCATAACCCGAAGACAGGACCAAGACAGAACAGTGTCTACATCCTACGTAAGATCGTTAGATGCGCCGGGTAACTTTGTGTTTGTCATTGTCTGTTTTTAATTTTGTTCATGTACTCATAGGCATAACCCAAAGACGGGACCAAAACAGAACGATGTGTGCATCCTACCTAGGATCGTAATGAGGGTTACATGTGCACACATGTTTATTCTGTGTGAAGCTCTTAGGTTACTCATGCGCCAATGTGTATAATAGCTATTACTAGTGCGAATACTAATACTGATACTAAGATTTCTATTCCTACGAATAAGGATATTACTGTTCATAACATAATAGGCTTAATGGTTAATACTAGTATTAAAAATTGCACTACTAATTCGAATAGTAGTGCTGATGGGAATATTAACACTCCTGGGGATACTAATACGCATATTCTTATTAACTGTTCTCAATATGAATACTAATAGTACTAGTTGTTTGGAATACTAATACTTGTCCGAATATTCATACCAATACTCAGGCTACTGCGATTATACATAATAGGACATTAATATGGGTATTCGTATTAAGGTCAGCATTTCCTTCGAAAGTATTCATATGCGCATCATAATTCATCTTAATACTCGTACTGATATGAATTAGTATGATTACAAATACTTTTACGAAGACGGGTACTTTCAGTAATACCGATACTAATATGAATACTAGTGTTCCTACGAATATTAAAAAACATACCCATATTGATAGTAATTTTATTTTTTATTTGTTACCAATATACACGCAAATGCTAACATTAATACTAATATGCACATAAGTGATACAGTTCCTCCGCAGATTAATGCGCATAGTCTTATTAATTATTCTCAGTATTTATATTCACATTAAAAAACCTACACTAACATGAATAGCAGTATTACCACTTGATACTCCAGATAATACGATTATGCATAGTATGAACAGCGATACTGCTATTGATACCAATATTAATGCTCCTACGAATACTAATAATCACGTTCAAACCAAATACAAAAAACAGACACATCAATGTACCAAAGAATCTGTATTTTCACATACCAATAAATAATATACTCGTATACTACTATTCCAATGTTACCATAGACTATGAGACTATACACTGGTTAATATTAACACTAAGAATAAGGCAGAGACTAAGACCAAGACTAATACGAATACTAAAACTCACACTAGACATTAACACTACCATTAGTACACCTATTGTATAGACTTATATTCAGACTAATACTAACGCTGACATTGGAATTGACATTGACACTGACACCAACACTAACAGTAACACGAATCAACACGCTAGAACGCAGATACTAATACTAACACTAATGCCTAATGCACATCTGAAGACTACTGCGCGTAAACAACGAAACCATTTCCGATCAAGCATGCTGCGCGCTGTATTGGCTCTAAGGCTCCGAGAACCAAAAATCCAAAAAACCAAAAAACCAAAAATCCAAAACCTTTGTCAGGGGGGTCGAAACTTTTGGATTTTTTGGTTTTCCTAGGGTTTTTTTGGTTTTCCAACAGAAAACCAAAAAAATCCAAGGTTTTTTTGGTTTTCCAGCAGAAATCCAAAAAAATCCAAGGTTTTTTTGGTTTTCCAGCAGAAATCCAAAAAAACACAGGTGTTTTTTGGTTTTTCACGAGAGACACAGCAGAAAAACCAAAAAAACCTTGTGTTTTTTTGGTTTTCCACCGAAAATCCAAAAAAAGCCATGGTTTCGCCAAGGCAAAGCCCAAAAAAACAAAAAAGACCTAGGAAAACCAAAAAATCCAAAAGTTTCGGGCCCCTCAGAAAGGCTTTGGATTTTTGGATTTTTTGTTTTTTGGTGTCCGCCGTCGTATCGTATGGTTTCTTTTAATGTTTCTTGCTTATGAATACAGGCATACGAATTTGAAAGCGGACATGAGTAGGCACGACGTTGTAAAGAGACATGACTTCACATCAGCCATGATAGAGAAGGTATCATCCCCGAAAATTACGCAGAACACGAATCGTATGCCAAACGCGAATCCCTGCCAAGAGAAGGTTTTGACGGTATTTACAATGGAAAAGAGGCCGAGGTAGGTCATGGGGGGGGTGTGTCCATATATATATATATATATGTACGTGTGTGTGTGTATGTGTATGTACACATATATGTATGTAAGCATATGTGTGTATATGTGTGTGCCTATATATATATATATATATCTTGTATCTATGGCTTTATGTAAACATATGTGTCTGTGAAGAACCATATCTATAGCAACATTAACTTAAACCAAATATTATATCGACATAAACGAAAATGTGTAAGTATGTGTGTATGCATTATAAGACATACATATCCGTAGAACCCAGCAATAGGCACCTTCTCATGACATGCGGCTGGCGGCGAATACGGGAGCAAGTCCTAAACCCTGCACCCTAAATTCAAGGTAAGACTGCCTAAAGGATCATGGGACTTAGTAACTAAGGATACTATTAGGGTAACTATACTTGTACCTACTTATAACCCCAATCAAGGTGCTTATAACCTTACTTACTAAGTCCCATGATCCCAATTATAGAACCCCTATAGATTCCTTTAAGGAACCCCATTATAAAAGCCTATAGTACTCACTCTTATTAAAGGAACCCTAGACCTTACTTACTAAGTCCCATGATCCTCCAAGTGACCCTTTGCCTTGCTAAGCCCTAAACCTCATGGCCATGTAAGGGTTTACCCTAAGGCCCCAAAGTAGTTCCTTTTGGGGGTCCATATTTAGATTTCTATAAGGTAATCCCAAAAAGGAACTACTTTGGGCCCTATGGGTAAGGCTTAAAGTTTAGTGTTTAGGGTTTCAAGTTTAGGGTTTCGGGTTTAGGGTGGTTCAGGGTTAGGTTCATGGTTGGTTGCAAGTGGGGCTATGAGTAGGATATAACCATAGTTATGACCCATATCAGGGGACTGATAACCCACTAATACAGATTGGGCCAGCCTGTAACACTCCATATTAGCGGATCATATGCAGGGCTATCTTTATATAATATATATATATATATATATATATACAGATACACATGTATACATTTCTCCATAACTGTATTATAAGTATTGTCTAACTAGTACAGGGTGGGTGCAGTACACCACCTACAATCACTGAGCATCCTGAAACCTAGGATCCTAAGTAGCCCCTTTTTAATAAGGGTACCCCTTTGCTAGTGTTCAGTCAGGTGGCCCTAAAACACAAAGGGCAAAAGGGCACTACAGGAACCTAGTAGACCCTAAACCCTTACAGATCGCTTTTAGAACCCTTTAAGGAACCCCTACAGAACCCTTTAAGGAACCCTGAAAGGATCCTAAACCCTCTATAGAACCCTTATAGATCCCTTTAAGGAACCCTTAAAGGATCCTTTTATAGAACCCTTATAGATCCTTTAGGAACCTAGAATCCCTGAAGGGGCCTTCGACTCGAAAGCCCAGGAGTGTTCCTCTGGCGCAGGAAGTTGGCAAAAGTCGCCACCTTGGCGGGCAGACGCTCTGGGGGTTTGGGGTTTAGGGGTTGGGGGTTTAGGGTTTAGGGGTTGGGGGTTTAGGGGTTAGGGTTTAGGGTTTAGGGGTTTAGGGGTTTAGGGTTTAGGGTTTAGGGGTTGGAGGTTTGGGGTTTAGGGGTTGGGGGTTTAGGGTTTAGGGGTTGGGGGTTGGGGTTTAGGGGTTGGGGGTTGGGGGTTTAGGAGAGTAGGGTGGAGGAAGACGAGGTTTTACCTCCACAAGCCCTTCAGGCCCAAAACGAAATCACATGCTCAAATGTACCCGGAAAGACAGCGACTGCGAAATTCTTCCTCCAAGGCCTTCCCTTGCGAATGTCCGGCACTGTGATCTCCGAATACTTGCGGTGCGTGGCGGCTATAATCAATATCTCAGCCCGAAGAAGCTTGCGATTTCCTGAACCCTTAACCCGAACTACCACTTCTGAGCTGCCACGCAGCATTGAGGGTTTATGCGTTGAAGCATCGCCGACCAACCACCCAACCAACCAACCAACCAACACACACACACACACACACACACACGCAGACACACACACACACACATAAACACTAAACCCATGTGTGTGCGTGTGTCCCTGTATGTGCATGTGTGTGTGTACAACCAGACGCACGATAACTCGATTTAAACCCTGAACCCTCAACCGTGAAGAAGCAAGTAGCTCAAGTGCCTCAATTCTCAAAGGGGAAAAGGAGGGACCCTTGATGCGGACCCCTACCCTCTAGTATGCTATATAATGGGTATATAATAGCTATATTAAGGGTATATACCTAGGGGTCCATATTAAGGGTCCCTCCTTTTGCCCTTGGAAATTCGAAGATCCGACTAGGGCAACTGCACAGAAGCAGCTGCAAACCGCCGAAAGCCTCTGATTCGACTCTCTGACTTTCTGGTAGGGATGAAGTGGGGCTTTAGGGCCAAAGTTTAGGGCCAAGGGTCTTGAGTTTAGGGTTTAGTGCCAACCTTGAGGTATATATATATATATATATATATATATATATATGTAGGTCGACTTGGAGGAAACAGGGAAATAGAGCAACCCCTAAACCCTAAACCCTGAAACCTAAACCCTAAACCTTGGGCTTTGCGGCACGTGGCTGGGGGATGTAAGAACTATTTGTCCAGAGAGGCCCTCGTTGCGGTCGAGATAGGGGAGACAAGGGTAGCTAGGACTCTAGGGGTTTAGGGTTCAAGGGTTTAGGGTTTGGGGTTTAAGTTGTAGGGACAGGTGTAAATAAAGATAACATGCGAGCTACCTGGACCCTGTAAAACTTTCCTGTCTACGGTTCCCTAGCATGACTTCCTTATATATGTCCTTGAAACGGTATAGGTTATTGGGGGTCCAGGTACACCCTAAAAAACTAAACCCTGAACCTAAGCACAGGAACACGGATTAAGAATGATCCGTGCCTGGATTCCCAGTTCTGGTAGTCATGTGCTTCGCGAACTTGATGTTCCACCCAGTGTAGCAGGGATACTCTTCAGTTGATGATTTTAAATGAAGTTTGGGAGGGAATAGAATTATACTGATTATTGAAGCGACCTTCGGAGGCGGTGTACAATACTCACCTTGCGCCAGCCTCATCATCATCATCAGAATCAGGAGCAAACAACCAACTGTCGTCATACTCCTGGTCCGCCCCGGTGCCGAAGACGACGCGGCAACTTGTGGACCTGTATCCAGTCCCAGTTCCCTTGCGTACCAGGCGTTGTCCTTGACTTCGTTCATGTTTGGGTGTCATGCAACTCTTGATGCGCAATGCCCGCATAGTCCAGTAACGTCTCCAGTGCTCCTCCGTTTCTTATGGATGCCATCAACACCATGATGATCTGATCTACCATTGTCAGCTGCAAAAGACTAAAGTCCGCAGGCACCGACCGATTCTGTGTCGGATTCGTGCTCCACGTCCGGGATAGTCGTTAACATGGCACCGAGAGGCGATTTGCCGGCGGATGCTTGAACAGCATGATGAGTCATGTTACCTCATCCATGCGAAGAAGTCGGCTGACGACAAGGTCTGAATACCAAAGCATTAGGTCCTACAGTCTCAGTCTCAAAGCCAACTTCCGAAATCATAGATCCAAGCCCTTCAACCTAGACACTGAGCTGTAAGCCGTCTATGTTGCGGTTCCATGTTTGTGGCTTGTGGCTGCTCAAGGTTTGGGCTCGAGGGTTTAGATTTTAGGTCTTGGTAGTTGTGGCTCAAGTGCTCTGTCTCAATAATCGGGAATTCGGGATATCAGGCCCTGGATTGAAGAACTTACCATTTGGGCGGAATATGGGCTCACGTGTAGGGTGCATCACATGAGGTCACAAACTTAGGGGTCTCATCTGGGTAATCGAGGCGCTTCCCTCATAGGGTCTGCAGGAAGGGTACCTTGCTTTTGGAACATCCGGCAAAAACTCCGTGTTTAGAGTTGCTCTACACCCTAAACTCCTGCACGAAACACCGCCTACTGCGGGACGCTTCGACGATGCACTAGTTCAGACCTCTACCTTGCCTCTAGCCATGCATACTATAGCATCAAACCACAATCCCCCTAGCACCTACTAAGTAGCAAGTAACTTGCAACCTCGCAAGCCCTAAACCCTCCTACACCGCCAAACATCCCTAAACATCCAAAAGTTTGAGTTTGAAACCCTAAATCCAAACTCTTAAGCCGAAAGCCCCTAAATCCTCTACACCCCTGAAGCTTGACACACCCCCCCCAACACCCAACAACACCCCTAAAACCCTTCAAAACCGCTAAAACCCTTGAACCCTAAACCCCTAAAGCCCCTGAAACCCCCAAAAACCCTAAAACCCTAAACCCCCTAAAGCTGTTAAAACCCCTAAAACCCTAAACCTTAAAACCCCTACAACCCCTGAAGCGAGCCTCCTTCGGCTTCCCCCGCGCAGCCCGGCCGACGGCATCTAAAGCATCCATGAGCCGAGCAGAAAGCATGGAGACCTCACGCCACGGACATTTCCGGGTTTAGAAGGGTCTATATATATATATATATATATATGACTATATATATATATATGTATGTATCTTTGATGACACATTCTGTAAGGGCTTACAAACGCTTGATTTGGATTTTCTGTTTTTTTTGGCCGGGTTTTGAAGGGTTTGCTACAGTTGATAGGGCGTTTTTAAGCTTTGGAGCTTGGGTGGTTCAGCGGCCCGATAAGGTTAAGGTCTGAAACACTCTAAACCCTAAGGTTTGGAGTACCGTCGTAGAGTGAATGTCTTTGGAACACCTACGCAAGCTTCGTAGACGTTTAGGGTTTAGGGTGTGGACGTCTTTAAGGCGTTATGGTCTGGACTTAGACTTGCAAACCCCGGTGCTTCGATTTTTCAGTTCAGGTTCCGGGCAAGGCTCTAACTCCGAGCCTTGCAAGGGATAGCCGTTTTGGTTAGAATTCCCCTAAGGGTCCATGTACCCAAATAGTATATACTTTTGCCTTAAAGTAGTCCCTATATAGGTACGTGGGGGCCAAAGTATATAGTATTTGGGTACATGGACCCTTAGGGTTCTTTTTGAAAGCAAGCCGGCGATCCGCCAAATCGCGATTCCAAGCGTGGCAGACTCTCTTGCGGATTCCGGAGGGGATGTGCGCAAACATGATGCAACATCTTCAGCAGAACCTTCCGTCGCCGTAGCCTCTAGACGCTCGAGCCTCTTAATCACTTTGGGGACTTTCAGGGTTCGGGGGGGGGCGGATTTTGGACGCTCTTGGGTGCTGTTGGTTTAGGGTTTAGGGTTTAGGGTTTAGGGTTTAGGGTTTAGGGTTTAGGGATCTCTCACACGCTCTGCCCCGCACCTCATCAATCACCAAGAGTGTAGCAAACACCCAGCGATTGCAGGCGTCAATGTCCTTAGCCAGGCATGCACGACCCTTGTGGAGTCCGAGTCTTCAGATTTCTTGTCCCAAACTCACTGCTGAATTTCGAGGTGGCAGTGCCTCTTCTGAGCGTATAAGCCCATGTTGGAATTCATGTGTCGGGTAGTTTGGAATGCACTCTAAACTCTAAGACAGCAAGGTTGGGGGCCTTTTGAGCAAAGAGATCCTGACATAGGACTTCCGGGGCCTGTGTAAGCGAACTGTCAAGAACTCCCCGGAGTAATTCGTCGCTCCTGTCTGGATCCGGGCTTTTGGGTCTTGCTATTACTTACCAAGCCAGGAATGAAAGTGCCGGAGGCCTAGAACCTAAAACCCCGAACTCCACGACTCAAACCCTAAACCCCAAAACCTACACCCTACACCCTGTAACCCTCAGTGCCAAGCCCGAAGCTGCGAACCCCGAGCCATCCGCCCGATCACATGCTCCTGTAAACACGAACTTACTACTTGGAGCTACTTATGCCACCCAATATAGAAGCCATAAGTCTTAGAACACCCTAAACACGAAGAGTTCCCTAAACCCTGAACCCTAAACTATCCTAAACTCCTACACCAAAAACCGCAAACCGTAAGCCCTTACCCCTAAACTCCAAACCCCCAAAACTCCAAACCCCTAAACCTAAACCCTGAACCCTAACCTCTAAATCTTAACCCCCAAACTCTAAACCTAAATCCTAAATCTGAACCCTATATCCAGGATCCGAGGCCCCAAGCGGCGCAGACGCGGGCGACAAGCTCCGCAGTCGATCCATTACCCTGAGACTCTCGGGTTTAGGGTTTAGGGTTTAGGGGTTAGGGTTTAGGGTTTAGGGGTTAGGGTTTAGGGTTTAGGGTTTAGGGTTTAGGGGTTGAGGGATTACCCATAGGCCCCAAAGTAGTTCCTTTTTGTGGTTCATATATAGAATCCTATCAGGTAATCCCAAAAAGGAACTACAGTGGGGCCTATGGTTACGTAGGGGTTTCGATGTTTAGGGTGCGAGGCTTTTGGCTTCAGGTCTGTTAACGGCATATCAAGGTTTATTGAGGTGTAGGGATTTTATGACTTTGGTTTTGGGGCTTGGGTCTGCTGCATTGGGGTTCAGGGGTTGCAGGCCATCCATCGGTACACGACGTAGACTGCAGTACTTCGTGTTTAGCGCTTAGGGGTGTAGGATATTTGCACAGTTTCGCATTTTTATGGGCTTTATCGTATTGTATGATGATCTTATCGTACGTTCCCAATGTATCTAACTTTCAACTATGGGTATAATTCAAGCCAGTAGTCATCTCCTTTTCTTGTGGCTGGTTTGGCTCTCTCGGAAGCATGGCAAGAACCCTAGCCGCCCACACTCGAAAAGAACATGGCCTCTAAACCTTATAGCTCCAACACTTTCATAGAACCCTTCAGTGAACCTTAAAGCTTAAAACCCTCGAAGAGACCTCGCGTACAGAAACCCAAGGGGCCTTCGATATGGGGGGTTTCCGAAAATTCGGGGTACCTTATTTTGGGGTCCTTATAATAAGGATCCTACGATTTAGGGTACTATAATAGGGTCCCCTATTTTCGGAAACTCCCATATGATAATAGCGGCTTTAAAAACGGAGTCGGAGAGGTCGAAGCAACATCCCCTTATAGTCCAGACATACTCTTCAGAGCTGTTTAAGATTGTTGAGGCCCCTACTACACCCCAAAAGATCCTATAAACCCTTGTGCAACCCGTGACGAAGCTATTCTAATTCCTGTAAACCCTAAACCCTCAAACCCTCACAGAAGCCCCATGACAGAACCTTTACAGGAGCCTAAAAGGGCCCTGATGAAATAGTAGGGGCTAGACTCAAGAGTAGCCTAGGAATAAAAAGGGTGCCCTTTTTGGTGTAAAGGGGCATATAAGGGGAGGACTAAGGGCCTCCTCTAGGTCCTACTTAGAGGTTCATGGGTAGTTATAAGTAAGGTTGTAAGTAGGGTAACTCTACTTCTAACATTCTAACCCATTTTATATTAGGGGTAACCCTACTTATAACTACCCCTGAACCCTATAATCCTATACTATACCCTAATCTCTATAGATCCCTGAAAGGAACCCTACTTATAGCTACCCCTGAACCTCCAAGAATAAAGCCAAGAGAACCGCCCAGAGCCTCCAATATCGCGAATTAGGGTATATACCTTAAATTATAGTAGGATCCCTGATATGATTTAAGGAATATTCCTTGATTAAGGGATATTGGGGCGATCTGAGCTTTGCGCACGACCGATGCCGGCCCAGGAGTGGAGAGTCGTCCCACCGATCTGGAGGGCCTTTGAAGGGCTTAGGACTTTATAAACTAGAGTAGGGCTCCTTTAAAGGGATCCTTAAGGGGTCTATAAGGGATGGATAATAAGGTTGTATAGATAGGGGCCTTAATAACTAGAATAGGGTCTCTTTAAAGGGATCCTTATATAGATAGAGGCCCAGAACAGCGTCGGGGGGCCCAACTATAGTAAAGAATCCCCAAAATAGTATTGGTAGTTAGTTATTTAGGCCCCTATTTTAGGACTGTATTTAGGGCTTAGGGTTTAGAATCTAGGTTTTACGGCTTTGCGTCGGATTTTAGGTTTAGGGCTTTAGGGGTTTAGGGCTTCACTGGTGGCGGGGTTTGGGGCTTCAGCGAGTCGGGGCTTTGGGGTCGTCTGGGCGCTTTGGCGTGCAAGGTTCCAGGTTTTTTGGGTTTAAGCTCTTAGGAATTTAGGGTTAGAGTAGGTAGGAAGGGGTCTACTTCCTTTGACGACCCATGCCCCGTAAACCTCAAACCCTAAATCCCAAGCCCATGAAGCCTCTCGGAAGCTGACCCCACGCACCAAACCTCCGCTTTCGAAAACAACAACAACAACAACAACAACAACAACAACAACAACCCTAAACCCTAAACCCTAAACCCAACAACAACAACAACAACAACAACGAACCACCTGAGCTCAAAGTGGGCGCAGCATCCCGAAAACTGGGGCCTCTTCTTGGGCATGAAGCTTGTAACACCTACGCTGGCTTACCCAGAAGGTTCCGTGCATTCTGGGCTAAACCTGAGATCCTGAAGACGAAACGTTGAGGATTTCAAAGCCGATCGAGACCGGATGAAGCCCTGTAGAGCCAAAACCCGATTGAGCTTGCTTAACCACCTTACAGAGGTCCTGCAAAGACTAAGGCATCTGCTGCTGCGCCAGTGGGCGCGGTCAGTGCCACCTGGACAGGCTTACAGGGTTTAGGGCTAACGGTTTAGAGTTTAGGATTCAGAGTGGTTTAGGGTTGAGGGTACAGGGAGTATGCAGCCGGCCAAAATGCTGCGGTTCACAGCTGGTGTACGCTGACAGAAGGATGACCTTACAGCTGCTGAAACCATGGTCTTAACGCTGCTTGATACTGTTGATGATATAAATCCTGCATTCCCCATAATAAGGAATATACCAGAATTCCCATAATTTAGGGTCCTTAAGGTAATGCAGGATTTATATCATCAACCGTACCACCTACGAATGCTAGTTACGGTTTGCCTCTGGGCCACGAAACCATGTCCAGGACTTTGAGCATCCTAGACACCAGATCCTGGACTTCCACGGACCAACACAGGCACCTAAACCCTCAACCCTACCTATTCTCCATTGTAACATTGTAGTTCCCGTTTTTTGTTTAGTTTAACCACTTGTATTGTCCGAAAACGTAACCTCCCAAATAGGAACTACAATGGAGACTACATAGGTAAAACCCTAAACCCTATTCAACCCTACCAACCCTATAAACTCTATAAACCCTATAAACCGTATAAACCCTATAAGCCCTATAAGCCCTATAAACATTGAACCCTAAACCCTAGACCCTATTAAACCCTAAACCCTTGCATGGCACCTGCCGTTTGGCTTCGCGGTTCACAGCACGGAGAACTAGCGACTTCCTGGCTGGAGGAGCATGTAACTTAGGGGTCTTAAGAATTAGAATAGGGTTCCCGTTAAAGGGATCCTTCAAGGGGTATATAAGGGATCTATAACAGGGTTCTAGATATGAACATGTAACATAGGGGCCTTGATAGTTAGAGTAGGGTTTGGGGTAAAGGGTTCCTTTCAAAGGGGTCTATAAGGGATCGATAATAGGGTCCTATATATAGGTAACTATAGCATTTCGGTTTGACTGAAAGCACATCATATATCTGTTATCCTAGATCAGTCGCAGCACTGTAGATGCACAGACTTACACCTTTTTATATCTCGAGGTCCCTTTATAAAAGAAACCATAACCCAAAATCAAACCAACAAAAGAGTCCACCAGCCTTCAACCATGCGGGTGACAGCATTTCCAGGGACGGTTGAGGGCTTCAGGACTCCACTGAGTAGTGTAGGTAGGGGCCTTACAGTTACAGAAATGATTGGAATAGGCAGGGTTTATGCTATAACTCTAATTAATAAGGAGCCCACAAAACGGTACAGCTACTTATTGCCCCTCTATTACTGAGGCCTCAGGCCTTGGGAGACTTAGTCTTAGCGAGTTTGGTTACTTGATTGTTTTCCAGAGCTCGTTTCCGCCTGGCCGCCTCTACTCCTGCAAGACCTGTACTTGGAGGATCATGGGACTTAGTAAGTAAGGTTAGAAGTACCTTAATTGGGGTTATAAGTAGCTTTTGAGCATAGTTACCCTAATAGTAGCCTTAGCTACTAAGTCCCATGATCCTTTAAGTAGGTGAGGCGATCTGATTTAGTAGTTTTGGGTTCAGGGATGCTCAGGGTCTTGAAGTTGAGATCTACAATTTCGGGTTCCGTTTCATCCTGTGAGGGTTCCTGCACCCGAATCCCTACCGCAAGTTCGCCAAGTGGGTGGTTGTCAACATTATGGTCCCTTGTGGGGTACCTTAAATATTAGGTGCCGTACTATATCAGGGACCCAAAAAAGGACCATAATTTTAAACCCTAAACCCTAAACCCCAAACCCCTAAACCCTTTTGGGTCCGAAAATCCAATGACTTCGAGCCCGGCAATCCAGGAAGTAGCCAGCAGGACCCTGTTCCGGCAGCGCCTGCGATGGATGCAGAATTTTCAGAAAAATACGGGACCCTATATAATATAATGTCATAAAAAGTAGGATCCTTAGTACAAAGACACCAAAATAAGGCACCCTTAATTTTCGGAAACTCCCATGTGTGTGTGTGTGTGTGTTTTGTTTGAGCATCGGCATGGAAATTTGGGGCAGTACTCTACCTAGACCTCCTGGTTGACGTTGATCACACATTGTACACATACTCCGAATAAACTTGCTGAGCATGGAGGCCACTTCGGTAAAGCTAACAATGGCCATGGATGTTGCGGCTGTATGAGGGTTTTTGGCATTGAACGGCTTTACAGGTCCATGTACGAGGCAGTATATGCTTCGAGCCTCAAGTAGCCACACCGCAACCATGCAATGGCAACTAGATGCGTATATAGTAGGCAACCTACACCCCTACCAACGATGCGCCTAATGTCCCATACACGAGCGCCTTCACCCCTCAGCCCGATGCTGTGAGCTTTAAGCCACATTACCCTGATAACGGTGGATGATATAAATCCTGCATTACCTTAAACTATGGGAATTATGGTATATTCCTTATTATGGGTAATGCAGGATTTGTATCATCAACAGTAAGCTCTTATCTTTCCAAACCTCAACCCGAAGCTTTGATCTCTAGATCACCGAACCCTATGAAGGCGTGTAAGGTGTCGGTTTGTTCGACTTCTTTCGCATAGGGTTTATGGTTTAGGGTTTAGGGGAAGGCCCAAGCTCTGAATTGCACGACAACTAATCTCCAAACCTAGTGGGCTTGCCTAGAATCCCGAAGTACCCCCTAATGTACCCTAAATACCCATGTCTAAGGACCATAAGGGCTCTATGACAGGGTACTTGGGGAGTCCTTTAAGACTTGCTTTCAGAGCCACGCGCCTGTGAGGAACAAGCTCCTTCCGCGCCTCAAGGGAGCAAAGCCGACGAGTCGGGTTTAGCGTACACTGCGGTTTAGGGTTTAGGGGTTTACATAGGGGTTTAGGGTTTAGGGGTCTAGGGTTTTGGGGTTTAGGGTTGTCTGTAAGGCATCTATGAGAATTGTAATAGAAGAGAACTTGACTAGAATTGAGCTCTGCAGTTGTGCTACTAATGAAATCTTCTGAGGCGTGAGTACAGAGCTTCCAAGCTCGAGGGTTCCGCAGTAGCCAGGGTACAGGACAAGTGCGAAGTTGTTGCCGTGGTTTCTCAGCTTGATCTCTAGCTGACTAAACCCTAAACCATGTCAGGTCCTGTAACAGATGTCCTAGGCGACTTTGTGCAGCTCTACTCCCTCTACCCATAGGCCCCAAAGTAGTTCCTTTTTGGGATTACCTGATAGAAATCTAAATATGAACCCCAAAAAGGAAATACTTTGGGGCCTTAGGGTAAACCGGATGACCATGAAAGTCCGAAGGGAAACCTCGGAGTCCAGGCCTCAGCAACTGAACACGAAAGTATTCAGAAGCTCGCAGAGAGAGAGAGAGAGAGAGAGAACACTAAGAAAGGAACAGGACAAAGAGAGAACGCAGAGAGGGCGAGAGAGGGAGCGAAAACACAGTCTGGATGTTTCACGGTGGACCTTATACGTAGCACCTGTGTTCTATATGCGGCAGCGAGGGAAACTTTGTGTCAGTTGTTATTGCTTCTTGCTTGCAGGCCGGAGGGCAACACCAAATCCACCACCGCTCGCTGCGCCGGCGTCAACTCCGGATCAATCTTCGGCTTCGCCTGCTGTTGCAGGTTTCGTCTTGTGTCGCAGCGCCTACTGTAAACTCCGACATCGCCGAATGAGGCAAAAAGGGTATCGGGCTGAGGGTTGATGGGCTTGCATGTATATACTTATGGATTCACTTGGGTTAGCATGTGGGGCCTTTGTGTTTCGGGACTGGGGATTGAGGGTTTGCGGTTAATGGCTTGGGGCTTTGGGTTTAAGGATTTGGGCCTAGGGTTTCCGAGTCGAATTGGGTCCGGGATCGTGGTCGTCTTTCCTGTGCACACAAATCTTTAACTCACACCAACTTGGCGAGTGCCTTCATCAAAAAAACATCATTACTATAGGCCTTGAACTGCGTGCGGGATTAGTTGAAATACCTGGGTGGTTGTCAAAACTATGGTCCCTTTTGGGGTACCTTAAAATGTAGGTGCCCTACCATATTAGGGAGCCAAAAAGGGACCATAATTTTGACAACCACCCACCTGCATCATCAAGGAGTATGCACTGCAGCTATACTGAGCCACAGCCGCAGCGCAGGATTGTCTTGACCCTCAAAACCTGCACCCAAGGATCGTTTAGACCTCGGCGAGGCCCTCTGTGAGGAAATTGCAATTAATCTCCTTGATATGCGCTGTAGTAGTAGTAGTAGTAGTAGTAGTAGTAGTAGTAGTAGTAGTAGTAGTAGTAGTAGTAGTAGTGGTAGTAGTAGTAGTAGTGGTAGTAGTAGTAGTCGTAGTAGTACTAGTAGTAGTAGTCGTAGTAGTAGTAGTACTACTACTACTGCTACTTCTGCTACTACTACTACTACTACTACTACGACTACTACTAGTAGCAGCCATAACGGGGGGGCTTGCTAGTGCCTCGGGCCCTGGAGCTAAAGCTGGCGAACCTGGAGCTGTCCGGCGCTGAAGCGTTCCGTCCCTAACCTACTCCTATAAACTCGAATATGAAACTATATTATTATACTACTCATACGGACCCGACAAGAAGTAGGAACTCGAATATGAAACTTAGAAGGACCCTACCCACAAAACAGTAGGTTCTGCTAGGTTAAAGTTAACACTCTACTGAAGGAGCTTTCGTGTTCTCCGAACTTTTTGCGTCGCTGAAGCTGTTGACGACCGCTCGTGCAGTCCGGTACCAATTCAGCGGAATGTGACAACCACATGCTTGCAGGGACGCCAGGGTTTCATGAGCTGTTGGTATGCCACGGCTACGCTAAGGGCCCTAAGGCCCCAAAGTACTCTCTGGGGTTCATATTTAGAATTCTATAAGGTACTCCCAAAAAGGAACTACTTGGGGGGCCTATGGTTAGTCTTCTCCCCAACCTCAGCCAAAGCACCAAAGTCAGGCCCATCAACTCAAGCTTCAGAGCGAAACGTTGCAGATCATCGCGACGACTACTCGTAGAAGCCAGAATTAGTTGTGCATATAACCTTTGCGGGCACAAGCCGACATTATTCCCCGGAAAGGCCAGTCTTTCAGAACCTTTGTGCAGATTGACTTGTCAAACAAACGAGAGGTTTTGACAGTTCGCCTTAGATTACTGCGTAGTTGACAAAACTGACCCTGTGGAACAAAATCTTTTGCGGTCGTTCGTCGTCTACGAATGGACACTTTAAGTCTTACTGCAGTGCTGAGAGTCCCGCATGCTTCAATCTAGTTGTGTCGAGGTTTGACGGCTTCTGGGTGGCTTTAGGAGCGGCTCCAGTGTGCAAAGGCTACCTTAAGCCGGAATAACCTACCTTTTTAAGGACTTATATAAGGAAATCATGATAAGGAACCTTAAAAAGGTAGGTTATTCAGGGTTAAGGTAGTTCTCGGGGCGCTCAATCCGGAAATGCTCTGAACGTTCCTGCAATCCGTTCTGCACTTGCGCACTCGCACTTTCGCACATGCTCGACAGGAGAGCGGCAGGTTCACTTGCACGCACCACGGCTTCAAGTTAGGTCGGATCGTCTAAGGCCGTCTGATTCGACAGCCATCTATGAAGGCAACACATACTGAACCCTTGATTTCGGACCCTGCGCGACGCCTGGGTGACTCCAGACAGAATATTGCTCTGCAGGAAAAATCGGAGCACGGCAGCTGCAGCCTCTTTGTTACAGCCCGAGCACCCCTGCAAAAGCCAGAACTAGATGAGTCGGCCTTCAGCAGACACGGCGTGCATGTAAGTATCTGTGTTTTTTGGGTTTGGGTTGAGGGTTTAGAGTTTTCTTGGTACGGCAAACTTTGAACAGCCTCCATGGGCTTCATCTTCCTCCGCTCTACCGACCAAGTAGTTCGGAGTCCACAGGCGTTCTCTGGAGCTTCGTACTCAGCTTCGCCTGCAGCAAGGGTCATCAACATTGAAGGGTTCATGTACATGTATACTGTATACATATGGGTATTTAGACCTGTCTAGAAACTACAAGAATACACATCGTAAAGCATTTACTAATGTGATGTTATGTGTATTTCTGTGTTTACCACACATATATCTATACACATGTGTATACACACATATATATATATACATACATACATACATGTGTATATATATATATACACACACATGGGTCTGTCTATAGATATATGTCTGTGTATACATAATATGCATACATAGGGTTCCGAGTCCTGATTACTGCCTTTATCATTATATCATCACGACACGGTTCCCGAAAAACAAACCTTGGCCAGGCAGGTTCCCAGTAACGTTTAACTAGGGCTTAGGGTTCCATTGTTCGAAGATTCAGTCTTAGTTTGGAGGCCCCATAATAGGGTAAGAGCACCACGGTACTACTGGGCTACATAGTGAGCGTTTCGAGTATGACCGGTGGCGATTAACGCGTTGTGGAAGGGTATGACGTATTTGCTCAGAAAGCTCTTTGTAATCTCCATTCCTGCAACCAGGAGGTTTGGTCCCTACCTCATCGGAAGAAGCAACTTGCTACAAACCCTGGTTGCAGGGTCTTCTGAGACCTTCAATATTACCAAGAACTTGATGTGCTGCACAGGAGTCCCCTAATTCTCTTTCTGCAAGTTCCGACACTTGTGCACAAAAACTATACTTTCCGAAATTGTCTTCACGCCTGACTTAGACCCAGAATCCTAGACCCCTGATCCTTAAAACCATAGCTTATAAAACCTCGAAAAGGCGTAGTTTGTAAAACCCTAAATAGAGGCCTATAGATTCCTGTAGTGAAAGCTTGTTTCAAGCCCTAGACATAGCCCTAAACCCTAAACCTTAAAGCCCATAGCCCTAAACCTTAAACCGTATAACCCTAAACCTTAAACCCCAAAGCCTTAAACAACCCTAAAACCCTTAAACCCTAAACCCTCATAGCCCTTTATTATAGCCCTTGAAAAGAAACCCCTACAATCCCCTTTAAAGGAGCCCTAAGCCCCGGGGCCTGTGTTGGCTGCTTTGTCTCCTCTACGGCCTCGGGCAGCTCCGTCGGGTCCTGTGACGGTTTGGTTTAGGCTTTAGGTTCTACGGCCTCGGTTTAGGTTTAGGGTTTATAGGGTTCAGGTTCTAGGCTTTAGGTTCTAGGGCCTCGGTTTAGGTTCTAGGGCCTCGGTTTAGGGTTTAGGGATTAGGCTTGGCTTCATTTTTTTAAAGGCACTCTTTTCAGGATTTTGTCTTTTTGTGATTCCTGTTTTAAGGGCATCTTGTATAATTTTGGCTTTAAGGCTTAGGGTCTAGGATTTAGGGGTCTGGGGTTTATGCTTTAGGTTCTAGGGTTTAGGATTTGGGGCTCATGGGGTTCAGGACTTAGGTTTGGGGGTTTATAAATTTAGCCCGATAAAGCTAGGATCTCGAATTGGAGAGTACGGGGTGGATAGAGTTTGAGTTTCGGCTTGGCGGTATTCGGTTGAGACATGTTGGATCAGACTCCTCACCCCGCAACTACCCGCACAGAGCCTAAACAAACAAACCCTCAAACTCTAGATAATCCTCACCTACTCTCACAACACCCAAACCAACCAACACATGCAGAACCCGTATGAAACTCTAAAATGTCACTGAAAACCTTGTAAGCCCCCCACCTGAAGGGCCCCTAATCCCTGTAAAATAGGTGCCTTTATTGGAATAGGGTTTTGGTGCCCAGTATACGTGATAGACTTGTAATAAGGAGCCGCCAAAATAGTATAGGTAATTATTAAGGCCTCTGATATAGAGTCCTATTATTATAGACCCCTTAGAGACCCCTTTAAGGATCCCTTTTAAAGGGAATTGTTAAGGCCCCTACACCCTACACCTTAAACTAAATCCTAATTCGTAAATCCTAAACCCAAAATCCTAAACCCTAAACCCTTTTACGAACCCTAAACCCTAAACCCTTTTACGAACCCTAAATCCTAGATCCTAAACCCTAAACCCTGTATAAACCCTAGCCCCTATCTCCCGGAGCCTCTTCGAGGGCCTTTTCGAGGCCCCCCGGCTGGCTGGCATTGGCCGGCGTCATGATGGGGCTCTCCATATCCTGCACATTAAGGGCTTTGGCCTTTAGGATTTTTTTTTGTACGTTTAGGGCTTTAGAGTTTTTTCGTACGGGTTTAGGGCTTAGGGCTTTTTAGAGTTTAGGGATTACGGCCTTTGGGGTTTGGGGTTTAGGGTCTTTAGGGTCTACGGTTTGGGGCTCAGGGCCTTTAGGGTTTCGGGGGCTTAGGAGTCTTGCCCAAAACCCAAGACTGTGGACTCATACTTGGAAGCTTCTTGAGGCCGAAGCACCATACCAGTGGTTGCCGTATTGGCCAAGGGCTTTTTGCGTTTCATTGACCTATGGCTCGGCTCGGGAGAATGACATCAAGCTTTATCCTGCGTATACACACGTATACATATAAAACATAATATCTTTACGCATATATATATATATGTATGTATATGTATACAAACAAGAAGCATTGGGAGCAGCAGTTGCAGCAGTAGCATACCGGCACGTGAAACTAGTCAGTGTAACCCATGCCCTGAACCGTCTTGCTTCCGGTTTAGCGAAAGCCACCGGCCATGGAAAAGCGGCGTCAGTGTTTAGGGTTTAGGCTTACCTAAATCCTAAACCCCTTAAACCCTAAACCCGGTTTTTCTCATGGTTGTGGTGCAGCCTCCGGTCACTGTAGTATGGTACTCGCATCAAGATCGGAGATTAATGGCGGGGCATCCTGTGCATGAGCGCATATGTATATATTCGCTTGTGCACCAGAAACATTTCTGAAGGGTGATGGGCCCTTCGTGCTAACTTCAAGGTACCTTGGACTCCAAACGGGGTCCTCCCAGCTGTCCAAGATGTCTTCCTCCTTCTGCTGTATTTTCTGCGGCTCTATCTCCTTCACGCCTGACACATTTCCCTAAATCCGATCCCCTAAACCCCTAGACCCTAAACCCTATGAGTCTTCAGGGTGTGTTCTCGAAGGGAAGGAGCAGGCATGTATTTGTTTATAGACCCACACCGGTTCAGTTCCGCGGGCATCCCTGCAACTAAAAACCTATAGCCACGACGACGACTACGACGACTACTGCTACTGCTACTACTACTCCTCCTTCTCCTCCTACTCCTACTACTACTCTACCGCCCTAGGGGCTAAACTTCGTGTTCATGAGCAAGTTAACAAGCTTGTGAGGGAGCCGCTGTGTAGAAGCCTTAATAATAAGCAATATTCCCAGCGGCTCCTCATTCTCATTACATTATACCCCGAAACTTGTTCTAAGCATTATGGCATCTGGCACCCTCTCAGCTGTCCAGTCCAGTATTACCTTAAAGGTCCTCCTGAACCCTAAACCGAACGCATACTGTAGTCCCTTCACAGTTTACGACAACCCTAGCCCCAGGCACAGACTTAATGAGCGATCGAATAACCTAACCCTAAACCCTAAACCCGTAAAAAGAACCTTAGCTTATCTGGATGTTGCTTTGGCTCCGTTATGGCCTAGTTTAGGGATCAGGATCCTAAGCCCAAACCCAAAGCCCGAAACCATGAACCTAGCTTGGGAGCCTCCAAACAAAACCCTATAATCCTACACCGTGAACCCCTGAACCCCTAAACCCCTAAACCCTATAAACCCTATAAGCCCTGCACCCTAAACCCTCAAAGCCCGAAAGCCCTACATCCTAAGAGCTTAAACCCCCCAAACGTGATGCCCGGAACTCTGACGCCCACAGCCCAAAAGTGCAGAAGTCCCAAACCAGACGTTCAGAGATTCGGGCTACGGAATATTTTGAAGATTTAGGATTTCACTAGGGTTGTTGGGCCTTGGGTGGAGGGTGTGTGTAGGATTTAGGATTTAGGGTTGTGAGGTTTAGGAGCTTGGGGATTTTTAAGTCCTAGAAGCTTCTTCGGTTGCAGAGCTGAGGGCTTTGAGTGTATCTCTGGTAGGATCGTCGCTAGGGTTATCCTCAGAGGCAATGCGAGCATAGTGCGGGTGGAGGTTGAAGAAAAGAAGTCCAGGCGGCGAAGAACGAAGCCGGGAACTCAAGGAGAAAGAACTGGAACGCCCTTTGAGGAGCGCCCCAAGGCAGACCTGAGAGTCAAGGAGCGAAAGTGTCCGAGAAGACTCCCAGGCGAAGGGAGAAAGGGATTCCTCAGCAGCAAGGTAGGAGTCGAGCTCCTTAACATTGATATGGTTGCGGAGCCGGCGCTGAAAGACGGCATGAAGCTTGAACGCAACAGCTCTGGAGATAAATTCCACAAAGCGTGCGTTCGGAACGTCTCGCCCGGGAGCTCGAGGTAAGCGTCGAGTTGGTTGGCATCCACGACCCAAAGCGCCAACGAGAGCATGGAAAGCGACCCTTACGGTTTAAGGTTTAGGAATTTGGGTTTACGGCAGTTAACTCCAGTACCTTCCCTAGACTCGCAGCTTCGCATTCTGATGCCCGTATACTTCAACCCTAAACCCTACAGCCTCATTTCTCAACCCTAAACCCTAAAGACCCCAAAAAACTTCGGGCATCTGCTTCTGAAGCTATCGGGTTGAGGGCTCCGACTTAAGCATGGCTTCGGTCAAGTCTACAGTAATCCCCATAAAGTTCCCCTACTTGGACTTAGTAAGTATGGCTATAATATAAGGGGTTATAAGCAGTTATTAAAGTACCCTACAGTAATCCCTATGAAATTGGAAACCGGATAAAGCTCAAGTAGTGCTGGGATTCCAAATACATTACTCTTAAGAATTAAGGCTATTGGGTTTCCAACCTTTGGGCTTCTACTGTTCACACGTCGAAACTGAAGTGCCCAACTCAGAAAGAGACGCAAACGCAACTGTCCACACACACACACACACACATGTGTAGCTGTATACCAAAGAGTATGTATGAAGGCTTGTATGTGTGTATTCATACTTAGTATGAACATGTTTCATGCACAAATATACACAGACACTGCCACATGAACGCACACAGACAGAGAGATATCTACACGTATATAACATCCATGTACACATACACACTTATCATAATACATACATACATACATACATACATGCATACATACGTACATACGTACATGCATACAGACATGCACACAGCCAGCCAGACAGACAGATAGAGCACACAGCAATAGCCGCTAAATCCTGAAGCAGATATCCTAAGCCTAAGCCTTTGAAACCCTCTGTAATACCCCAAGACCCTCAAAACCCTAAACCATAAATTCTGGACACCTTACATGGCACATGTATTATAGTAATCGTTATGGTACTGTTGTGGAAACCATTATAGCAACCGTTAAGGTAGTGCTGAAGCAGGCAACCTGCGGAGGCTTTCGCCGGCGCGATGCCCTTCTCAACACTTTCGATGACACTCTGCTTGACCTCGGGGTGTTGGCGGACTTGATTTTTTTCATTGCTTCAGAGTTTGGTGACTTATCTTTTTATTGCTAGGGTTCAGGAATGATTCTATGGGTCCGGGTATACTTGGAGGTTCATGGTTCTGCAGTTATAAGGGTTCCTTTAAGGGTGCCTTTAAAGGGATCTATAGGGACTCTATAAGAGGGCCCATATATGGGTTTAGGGTTTAGGGGTGGTTGTCAAGGCACCTATATTATAAAACCAAGAAAGATCAACTATAGAACCGTTTGAAGGTTCCCTTTAAGGGAACCCTACCTATATTACAGTACCCAGATAGATCAACTATAGAACCCTTTTAAGGTTCCCTTTAAGGGAACCCTACCTATATTATAGTACCCAGATAGATCAACTATAGAACCCTTTTAAGGTTCCCTTTAAAGGAGCCCTATTCTAATTACTAAGGCCCCTACATTAGCATTTAGGGTTGGGTGGTTGTGAAAATTAGGGTCCCTGTTTGGGTCCTTAGTATAATACGGCACCTAATATTTAGGGTACCCCAAAAGGGACCATAATTTTGACGACCACCCACATGTGTTCGGTTACCCTCATCAAACCCAATACTCCGAAGCCCACGCGGAAGAACACCTTCAAACACGCTTCGACTTCATAATCATAAGCACGAACCTTGCACCAGAACATCGTTCAAAGCCTGCAACCCCAGAATGTGGCAAAGTCGCTGTCCAAATGCCATCGCGGTCATCCACGAGGTACCTGAAGAAAACTGCTTCGTAGATCTGTGGACACCCAATACTGTTCAGATTTATGAACCGTACGGACTTAAGGAATCCCAAAACCCTAAACCACAGCCAGAAACTGTAGACCAAAACCCTGAACCTTAGGCATGCATGATCAAGCGCCGTGAATAGCTGGCACAGCCTTCGGAGTAGACCGGACCTTACGAGTAGCTATGAGCTTACTTCTCTTAGCGGGCCTCGTCGATGCAGCTTAGGATGTGCTAAAAAGCAGGCTTCACGTCATGGGAGCGGACGAGGATTTAGGGCATTTGAAGTCGGGCTGTCCATCCGAAGACCTACACATAGTCTGCATTTTGGTTCCGTGGATTGGTTTTAACTAGTGTTGCGATCAGGATCCTAAAAGATAACCCCAAAAAGGAACTACAATGGAGACGTTGGGGCTTTGCAAGCCCCAGGCTCTCAATCCCCTCAGCTTACCGTCTGCAGAGCTTCCCAGAGACTCCAATATCCCTGAATTAAGGAATATACCTGAAATTAAAGGATCCTCAATATGATTTAAGGAATATTCCTTAATTGAGGGATAATGGAGAGTCTCTGGGTTCAAGCCCCTAAGCCCCACGACTAAATAGCTCGACCCAGCAACGTCGCGAAATTTTATATCTCAGGCCGGTGTTGGGCTTCAGGGTTTCAGGTTTGAAGGCTTAAACTTTCAAAGTGCAGGTTTTTAGGGTCTGTAGGATGCGGACCTACCATTCAGGGACTCTGCTTAACATCTAAGGCTCCTGCAGCTACCACCCAGGTAAACCGTCAACCCTGCCACCCCAAACGAACCCTCCACCATCTTAAAAAGCACTGCAATCTTAAAAGCCACCTCAAGCCCAAAAATGCAAACTCTAAACCCTAAACTCCTAAACCCCAAAGCCCCAAACCCCAAATCCACTTCGAGTGCAACGTCAGACGGCCTTGGCACCCACGTGCCCTTTGCACTCTCACCACCTGGAGGTCGGCTAGGGTTCAAGATCCCGGTCCCGGACCATTTAGAGAGTTTCCGAAAATATTAGGGCGGAGACTCTAGTGGGTTCCTTTCAGGATCCTTTAAGGGCCCCTTGAAGGGATCTACAGAGGATCTATAGGGTTTAGGGCTTGGGTATCCATAGTTCAAGATCCCGGAGCATTTAGTGAGTTTCCAGAAATGGGGGGGGGTGTACCTTATTTTGGGGTCCTTATAATAAGGGTCCTGCTCTCCGGAATAATATATTAGTGTCCCCTATCTTCGGCAACTCCCGAATTGAGGGTTAAGGGCTTAGGACTTCTGGTTTAAGGGTGGAGGGTCTCGGGGCTCGGGTTTCTGGGCCTTTTTTGAAGGGTCCCTACCTAAATGGTGTATAGTCGGTATAGTAAACATGACCCTAAGCCCCAAACCCGATTCCTTACCTAGGATACCCAGTAACCTAAGAATAAAAAGGCCTCTCTTTTTGGCATTGGGTAACTTTATAAGGAACCTAGGACTACAAAAAGGGAATCAGGGTACTACTGGGCATCCTAGTTACCTTTTGTGTTATGTGATGACCAATGGCCTGGTAGTAACCATAATGTAACCGAATAGCAATCCTATACACAATAATCCCAATCGTAACCCCAGACCCTAACCCAAAATGGTACCATCTTCGGGTGAGTGTATAGGGCCTAGGGCTGAGTTTTTGCTCCAAGCAGCCTGATAATGGGATTCACAACGCAAAAAACAGAATACTGCAGTGAAGGGTTTGGGGTCTCACAATAGATTTGAGCTCGCAAAGAAATAGCATACCCGGATCGATCTCTATCTTCGTTGGAATAGCATGTGACTTATACTCTACAGATCCTCGAACCGAATAGCTATAAACTTGCAAAGATACTAACCTACGGTGCTACTCACTGCCCGAACTATTAGGTACTTTGGACCCAGAGAGATGCAGTTGCTATGGACATGCATCGTTACACACCGAAACTTGCTGCCCCACCGTGCCGAAACAACACTGCCACAGATCCATGCATCCCCGAGGATGTAGATCCGCAAGCTCCAACCCCGAACCCAAAAGAGCCATTGCCCCTCAACATGCAACACCCCAAGGATCAGCCATTCCGGCTTCACATGGCAAATGAGCATGCTACCACCAACCAGTATGTGCAGATCAGCCACAGATGGCGCCACGCGCCGCCGCCCAAATAAGCCATTCGTGCCAGAGTGGGTCGGACATGAGAGTGCTGCGGCTTCCGATCACCTGGAAACTTGCGGTTTGGGGTTTAGGGTTCAGGGTTGATGCAGTCTTCTTCGTTGTATACCTAGACCTACTACAAACCCTGACTTTTCGCCGGTTCTTACATTATAAACCCTGATATGGGATTGATAGGGACCTTACTAAAAAGTAGAGTCTGGAGTCTGGTCGGCAAAAGTAGAGCTTGGCCCTCCAATATCATTCCAAATGCAGCGGGGGCCAAGGATACCTACTTGGAGGTTCAGGGTTAGTTATAAGTCGGGTTCCTTTAAGGGACCTGTAGGGTTTAGGGTTTAGGGTATAGTCGGGTTATAGGGTTTAGGGCTAGGGGTAGTTATGAGTAGGGTTATAAGTCCCCTAATATGGGTTCTAAGTATAAATACCCTGCTTATAATCCTACTTACAACTACCCCTGAACCTCCAAATACCCCCCAAACCCTCCTAATGAAAGCAAGGCCCCACGCTTGGCAGGAAACCCCATAAACCCGAAACCCTAAGCCGAAAAATCTTAAACCCTAAGCCCCACGCCTCAAACACTAAACCTCGATCCCCAAACCCTGACCCTAACCCTAAATCCTAAACCTGAAAACCTAAACTCGAAGGCCCTCTCTGAAAACCTAAACTCGAAGGCCCTAAATCCTAAACCCCAAACAGCAAGGCTTCGGGGTTCGGAGTCTTGGGTGGGGAGGTTCGGATCTGGCGGAGTCCGAAGCTCGAAATACCAACCGGACCTTCAAAGCCTACCGTTTTTGGGGTTCAAGGCATGGTTTAAGGACCTCACGATATATTCCACCATAAGAGACCCTACAAAAACGCCTATCTTCTGTAGTTCAAGGCATGGTTTAAGGAACTCACAATATCTTCCACCATAAGATACCCTACACAAAGGCCATCTTTTATAGTTTAAGGCATGGCTTAAGGAACTCACAATATCTTCCACCATAAGAAACCCTAAAAGCCTACCTTTCTGAGAGTAAGGCACTGCGTGACGAACTCAGAACATGTTCCAGCATAAGAAACCCTAATGGCCTACCTTTTAGAGTTTGAGGTGTTGTGCATGGAGCTCAAAAAAATCCATGATGAGAAACCCTGAAGGCATGCCTTTTTAGGTTTAAGTCGTTGTATAAGGTACTTCCTAATCCAGCATAAGAAACCCAAAACGGATTTGCTATCCAGCCCTAAACCCTGAACCTCTCAATGCTATAAATCTTGAGGTCGAGTAGGCCACAGACTTCGTACATCCAGAAACATGGGGTGAGTACGATGTAGGATTTAGGGTCTTAATAACGAGGCTTTAGGGTTTAGGGTGTAGGGTTTGGGGTTCAGGCTTTTTGGCAGGTGGTGACTTCGGCGTCTGAGTTTTCCATCTTCGGATTCAATGCTCGGCCCGAAGGCTTTGTAATAGTAGTGTCCTGGTGCTTAAACTGAATCCTACTCCCTCAACCAGTCCCAAAAACCCCAACCCCCAAAACTCCAACCCCCCCAAATACAACATGTCCCAAAACTCTAAACCCAAACAGACCCCCAAACTAAACCCTGCCAGGAAGCGATAAGGCCGATACGCGCTCGCGTGAGCATCACGTTGAGCCGACGCCAGTCGCACAAGAAGCCGACCTTACCCTCGCCTTAGGAAGGGAAAAAATACCTTTGGTTAGTAGGGAATGGAGGAATGGGGTACAATTATAGCTGCTATTACTACCATTCTTCAATTCCCTACTCACGAAAGGTAAGTAGGAAGGGAAAATGGGGATTCGAAAATCGAACAGGGCTTGGGGTTTAGAGTGCTTTGGCGCTTATATGGGCTTCTAGAGATTAAACTGGGGCTAAGAGGGCTTAAGAGTTTAGGGTTTGGCTTAGGGTTTAGGGTGCTGTGGTACAGGGCCGTAAGAACTAGAGTAGGGTTCCTTTCAGAGGGTTTCCGGTCTTAAACCAGTCATATTAAATATACATAGGTAGTTCTACTATCCCCGCATTTAATGCACACATATGTTGGAACGCAGCTTGCGAGTGCGCACGTTTGCGCTCTTCTTTAGGACTGCTTTGTCGCGTAACTCTCCTCCGTTGTCCTTTCCCGAAGAAATGCATACCACCTCTATTAGACCACATTGACTATACATCATGAACAATTAACCCTGCACCTGAAAATGCAGGCCAGCCACGATTGTTTCTAACTGCGCAGAAGATAATCACCTGGCACGAGAGATGGTTCGGGCCGAGGGTTCTTGGCCGGGAAGCACTCGATGTACAAACACGATCCAAAGCCCTAAACCCCTAAACCCGTAAACCACCAAACCCTAAACCCTGTAAGCTCTAAACCATAAATCCCTAAACCCTGAACGCTAACCGCTAAGCGCCACTCTGAAACCCAGGAAAGCCCATGAAGGACCACGGCGTGTGTATGAGCCTGAGTGATGCATGAGGATTTGAAGCTGCAGGTATTGGTTTCGCGGAGCCCATGTGCACAGACCCCATGAAGACAAAGTTGGGCTGTAAAGTCGCAAACCAAAACCTCCTAGAAAAAATGAACTGCCCCATTCACCTTCCCTAAACCTCTCAGAAGCCCTTCTTGGAACCGGGTCATATCGTCCTTCCCTCCTTGTCAGGGTTAACTTTTTTATAGGGTCATAAGCACGAAACTGGCGAAATCAAAAACAGGAACTACAATAGAAGCTGATTCTGAAGCCATTTAGGCCTCTTTCTCTTGGCCCTGGAATCTGTCCACGGATTCCACCTCCAAGCCGGACCGGAACCTGCACGGCTATGCAGGTTTCGGTACTGGGAAAGGCTCCAGGGCTTCAGGTGTACTTGGAGGTTCATGGGTAGTTAGAAGTAGGGTTATAAGCAGGGGAACTATACTTATAACCCATATTAGGGGACTTATAACCCTACTTATAACTACCCCTGAACCTCCAAGTAGAGGGTGTTGGCTACCCTGCAGGTTTTGGGCTCAAACATGACTTTGTGCTTCAGGGGTAGTAGGGTTGGGGGATCAAACCTGGGAGCCAAGATGCCGAGAAGGCAAACCACAGCATCCATAGAACTCTTGACGTTAAGGGCTTCTGGTGTTGATACGCTTACCCGAACAGTAGGTAACCGGGTTGATACAAGGATCAGAATTACGCCCAGCAATTCAAGATTGCCCACCGGACACCTAGAGAAAACATTCAACACATCAGCCCATAAACTGCAAATCATAAATAAGCTCCGAATCCTAAGCCCCCAAAAACAAACCCTGAAGTGAAAAACCCTACCTCCCGAACCTCAAAGCAAAGCTGCCAGGGTGCTTCTGAAGCCCCGGCCGCTCGTTGATGAGCTTCTTCAAGAGTCGCACTTGGCCCTTGTAAGGAGTCCTCGGACAAAGTGACGCTTTGTGGGTTTCGGCGTCTTCAATGTTTAAGGTTTGCGTGGCGCTTTGTGGGTGTAGGTTTTCGACAGCATGTACCTCCCACTACTGACATAGCCTTTAGAGAAGGTTCCTATGTTGGCACCTCAGTTAGGGTATAAATGAGTTACATGTGTGCATATATATATATATATATATATGTATATATATATATGTACATGCAGAGTTCGATAACACAGAAAGATAGAAACATGGATGGATGGATGGACAGACAGAGAGACAGACAGACAGACGGGCCCACAGACCGTACGCGTGGACCCTTCGGGCTCCTCTATGAGACAGTTGGACACGGGACGCGAGATAAGGATGTCTGCAGTTTTTGAGCGAGAGCAAACCATGCTGTGCACCTCAGAAACCCCAATCCTGAACCCTACAACCCAAAAAAACCCAACCAGAAACCTTCTAAAGTCCCAACCCTAAACCAGAAAGCCCTAAAAGCCTGAACACACCCGTCATTGAAGCCTGCAAGAAATAGAGCTCATTGTAGGGGTCATAATAATTGGAATAGGGTTTTACGGTTTAGGGTTTATAGGGGTACATTAAGCCATGACTATAGTAAGGGGCCCCAAGATAATAGATACAACGGAGCCTGGGGCTCCTTTCTAGTGTTAACCATACCAAAGAACCAAGGAATAATATTCAAAATCATCTAGGCTTCTATACTTTTGCATTTCAGGCAGAAGGCCGGACAGCCCCAGGCATCCTAAACCCAACCCTAATTCCTCAAACCTAACCGTAGATACGATTCCTCAACTTAAACCTAACCTTCAACATCCACCAAAGCCTGAACCCAAAGGGTCCAAGTAACCAACCAAATCGTGGGGTTTCAGGTCCTAAAATCCATACTCTGAATGGTTTTCGGACCTTGAACCCCTGTTATTTGTGTATTCGGACCCTCGGGGAACCTGCATTGGAGTACAGTCCACTCAACAGCCGCTTCCGAGACAAGTTGCACAATGCCAACATCCTCCGGGCCAATTTTACCGTTCTTGGTGACCTGGAGATGGGAGTGTTGGGAGTCACTGGCCCAAAACCCAAGGGAAAAAAGTTGAAACTTTCAGAATCGACTACCTTATAAGAAGCTGAAAAGTTGAGTTTGCAGCCAATACGGGGAGTGGGCATAAGCGAATCACCAAAACTGGAGGCAATAGAACAGAATTCAATGGAGCCTGGTCAACCTCTAGCCCGGAATCCGAGGTACGACAAGCATCGCCAAAGAGACATCGACTCTCAAAGGGGAACAGGAGGGACCTTTAATGGGGACCCCTACCCTATAATGGGCTATATAATGGGTATCTTATGGGTATATACCTAGGGGTCCTTATTGGGGGTCCCTCCTTTTCTACTTGAGACTCTGTTACGCAGATTTGAGCCGGAGGTGTTGGTATGCTCATGGAGCCTGTTACACAAGCCCCGAAATCAAACACTCAGAGGCCTGAAAGGTCATACCTTAGGTACTGCCCCCATACAGTAAGAGTCTATAATAATAGGGCTACTAAGGTCCTAATATATCTACACTATGCATATTATTCAACTATTACTGAGTGGGGGCCGTACCCAAGTCATACCACCCTAGACCCCAAACCGTAGAGACGTCCTGAGGCCCTCAACACTGAAGGCTGCCCATGCCGCTCGAAGCCTACAAGACGAAGCTAAGCAACCGAAACCTTGACACAAAAGATCCTTGCAGTCCTGCACTGCAAACCACGAGCCCTCAACCTTAAATCCTATAGACCTTACGCCGAAGTCTTGAACCCTCGACCCTAAACCCAAAACCTTGGACCCTAAACCTTGCACCTGAAAACCTAAACCTTGCAGCCTAAACCTTAAGCCCTAGAGCCTGAAATAAACCCTAACTGGAAAACCCTACACTACACCTTAGTAAGGTTAGTGAAGGACGGTCGATTACTGCATACTTGTTGAGACCCTAAACCCTAAACCCTAAACCCCCAAAAAAACAAAGCCTCGAGAAGCGCCCACATGGTCTTCTCGGCCTGAAAAGTTTATAGGGCTTGGGGCTTAGGGTTTAGGGGTTTAGGGGTTTAGGGGTTTAGGGTTTAGGGTTTAGGGTTTAGGGCTTTAGGGTTTTAGCTTTTGAGGGTTTAGGGTTGTGAGTTGAGGGTTTGAGGGCTTTATGATGTAGGGTTTCGGGTGAGGGTTGCGGGTTTGCGGGCTTTAGGGTTGCGGGTTTCAGGGTTTTAGGGTTTCAGGGTTTGGGCGTCTGGAGCTCTAGGATGCTTGGGGTTTGGGGTTTAGGGGTTTAGGGGCTTAGGGGTTTAGGGTGGAGGGCTTCGGATGACAGCAGGACGGCTTAGGTTGGTTGGTTGGTGTGTGACATCTCAGGGCAAAGAGATGAGGGGGGGGAAAGAGCCTTGGGTGCTTGCACCGACAGGCTTAGGGTTTAGTGCTGCGAGGTGCGGATTTTGGGTTTAGGGCTAACGGGGATTTAAAGATTCAAATAGTGTTAATGCATGGGGTTAATAGTGTTTAGGGTTTAGGGCGCAGGGCTATGCGTTTAAGTTAAATTTTTGTTTGAACCAACTCAGTGTGTGTAGTCTTAACGTATCGGTAACTCTAGTTGCGTACTTCCAAATAACACTTTGCATGCTAGTATTTCTCTCACTGTGATTGGTCAGTGTCAGAACATGCAATGTAATTTGGGAAGCAAAGAAAACTGAGAACATAAGTCGAAGGTTGGAAACCAGAGGAACGATCAATTCAGAGGACTAAGACCTGCTATGGCCCCATTCAATCTAGTTCGAGATGCTAGACTGCAATGTGCTTTGGGATATGACTCGGAGTCTGTTGACATTACAACTGTATCAAACTACTGTGATCATGTCAATCTAGCACACACACCCTATAAGTCCCCAAACCCTGAATCCTATAGAAACCCTAAACTGCCCCAAACCCTTACCCCCGCCACATCCCGACGCCTCTGCTGGGTTGATGTAGGAAGAGCCGTGCCCCTCGCGCTTCTCTTCACACTTCTCTAAGTTGATAAAGGCCACGGGCATGTGCCTTCCATGAGGCGGCCGGGAATGTGGATGTACCACGGGCTTTCATGAGAGTTGCGGTAACGGTGAAGGTTAGCTAGGTTCCTCTAAGGGATCATAGAATGAGTAGGGTTTAAGTATCGCAGTATACTGGAGCAGGACTGACAGATGGTCTATTCGGTATTTTCATACTCAGAGTCCAACACTGAAGGTTCATAATTCGGGACTTTCACAAGATTCCCACACTGAAGGTTTATGGGGTTTCAGACAATTTTATAAGCAGGTTCAGAGAGCTATGGTTGCACTTGAAGCTCTTAGGATACGACCGACCTAACACTTACATAGTTCGGTTCAGGATAAGAACTTGTAAGGCACCCTAAACCCTAAACCCTAAACCCATTCAATAGCGTCGTCTATGACAATTAGCTACTTGGACCCACAGGGTCTGACTCTGGCGGAGGGCCTACATTGGAGTTGCTTGGTTTAGGTTTCTTAGAATCATAGGGATCCTTAGGGGTGTAGGGGGAGGGGGGTTAGGGGGCCTTAAGGCCCATAATAAGGACTAATAAGGCCTACTTAAGGAAATATAGTCCCCTACACCCCTCCCCCCTACACCCCTAAGGATCCCTATGATAGAACTAGTGATATTGCTAGGGTGATAAAGGCGTCTCTACTGACACTGTCAAGATCTTCCGAGTCAACCCTCATGAGCGGACAATAACAAGACCTTAACCCCAAGGGTCCAAGTACCTAATTATCGTATGCTGTCCAAAACAGTAACCTACAGAACTACTATCCTGAACCCGAGTACCTAATTATTGGGTCATTTGGACCCTTAAGGTAACAATTAGGTTCGTGTTGGGGTATATGTTATTGCTTGCAGTTGTATAAGGGCTATAGTGACTATAGCATCTATAGCGCTTTCCTTCCACACGTGGAGATCAGACTACCCTAACCTGCTAAACTGCTAAACCCTGTTCCATGCGCTCTCCCTCGAGTTCAATGCCGACCATACTGAACTTGAGAAGCTTTTTGATTGCCGCGGAACCCCTCTAATTGCATCCTTTGAGCCCCTCGCTATTCTAAAACCCTTACTGAACGGTCCAGGTTGTCCATGTTCATGGTTCCGCTCTACTTCCCCTGGGTCTCCAAATATACCAAAGCAGGGGTTTATGGTTTAGGGTTTATAAAGACTGTAGACCCGGCCCAAAGTAGCTGCGCTGTTTGGGTGGTTGTCAAGATTATGGTCTCTTTCTTGGGTCCTTAATATAGTACGGCACCTTAAATTTAGGGTACCCCAAAATGTACAATAATTTTGACAACTACCCATTTGTATACTTGGAGCCCTACGGTTTGCTCTATCGACCGGAGACCACAAACCTTGGAGACCTAAAGCAAGACCAGCGTCGTGAATAGGGTTGTCATTTCAGGCTTTCCAGGGCAGTCGAGAACGACCCCAAACCGAAAACTTGAACCCTAAACCCTAAACCCTGCTGGGCGCTAACCTTACCCTCACCCACCCACGGCGAGCACGCCGCACTGGGACAGCAACTCGGACCTCCTGATCCCTAAATCCCCACACCGCCAACCCTACACACTCAACCCTAACCCCTAAACCCTAAACCTAAACCCCTAAACCCTAAACCCTAAACCCTAACCCTGAATCCTAATCCGAAACCCTAAACCTAAACCCCTAAAGCCTTAAACCCTAAACCCTAGATCCCTAAAGACAGCCCCAAGTCCTGAAGCCCTCAATTCCGAACCCTGAAGTCTCTCCTCGCGGTCTTTCCGAAGGCGCCCCCAGCGCTTGAAACAGAATCCTAGACCCAAAGGCTCCATGTACCCATATAGTAGGTACTTAGGCCTTAAAGGGGCTATGTAGGCACTTTAAGGCCTAAGTATCTACTATATGGGTACATGGAGCCTTAGGGAGAAGAACCACTCGCAGTTCAACGTTAAGTTGCCCAGGTCTTTCGTGCAAATCGACACCTTGGTTGTGTTCAGGATCGCTGCAACGGATCTTTCCCACTTTTTGGGAGATGTAGGTTAAAAGTCTTCATGTACCATGCTACATCCGGAACTAGACAGACTGTGTCGTGGGAACCTCTGAAACAAAAAATCGAAAGGGATTCCCTCAAACCCAATACCAGGAAGCGTAAAATAAGTAGCGTAAGATCTCTGTAAACCTTAAGCCCTGAACTAAGCACTGAACAGTAAGCGGGCCCTACACCCTACAACCCGGATCAGACACCCTAAACCCCTCAACCCCAAACCCTAAAGCCCTAAACCCTAAACTACAAACTCTTAAACCCCCAAACCCTACACCCCGGCCTCTGTGGCCAAGGGAAGCCCTCGGGCGGCTTGCGGTGGATGTGAGACACGCCGTTCCTCAGCGACAACACAGCTAGGCAGCGATAGCCCAACGCAGTCGGTGTTAAGGATTTATTTACAGGGAACTCCAGAAAGTTGGAATATGGTTTCAGGGTAGGATACCCTATGATTTACCATAAAGGGTTTAGGATAATCATATTCCAACTTTCTGGCTTTTACTTTAAGCCTTCACATCAGGATCTTTACATAGGGTTTAAGAATTTCGGGCTTGACATAGCGGTTCGGAATCTGGCTTGGGGTTTTAAGGCTTTAGGTGCAACAGGACGGCCAAAAAACACATCAGAAGGCTCGCTATTGAAGAACCAATGGTTTCAACGGCCTTGTTTATTCGCAAGGAGGGGATTGCTGGCCGCACTGCATTTTGGATAAACTTCGGACCTTTAACGGGATCCATAAGGGTTCCTTAAAACGTTCAGGGGTTTCAGGAAATTAGATGTACCTTACTTGGCTTGGACTCTGGCTCCCGTTTAAAGGGAGTTCACTTACTGCGTTTCATCTTTTTGGTCCAGAAGTGCGAAACCGACGTAGGACAATCTCGGGACTCCAATCTCGGGAACTCGAGAGATAACGAGCTAAACTCATCACAGTGACCGACCGCTCTGCATTTTGCATATTTGTGATTTTTGGTGATGCGCAGCCGCAGCTGTAATGACTTGTAGCAGTAGCAGTGGGAGGAGTAGGGGAAGCAGTTTAGTGGTAGGACGGCTGATGATAAAAATCCTGCATTACCCATAATAAGGAATATACCATAATTCCCATAGTTTAGGGTCCTTAAGGTAATGCAGGATTTATATCATCAACCGGAGGAGGCACAGCAAGAAGAGGTGTTGACGTCACCTTTTCGCAACCATTATCTCAGATGAGATGGGAACCTATGGGCCCCAAAGTAGTTAATTCTTGTGGTTCATCTATAGAATCTATTTTAAAGTAATCCCAAAAAGGACCTGCTAATTATGGGGCCTATGGGAAGTTCCATGGGGAATAACAGCCCTGCCTTCCTTTCCAGTTGTGCATCCTGCAAGCCCGAATTAATGTAGGATCCTTAACAATAGACTAGGGTTCTGAAGACCCTGGTGTATATTGTACTCTATAGTAGCTTTATTGATAAGGAGCCCCCCAAAATAGCATCAATATAGTATTGGTAGTTATTCTAAGCCTCTACATTAATCCCTTTTGGACTGGCTGGGATCACCCTTATTGGCTCACAGCTGAGGCAGCTCAGCTTCTGTAGCCGCCCATTGTAGAAGGCCGCCTGGGACGATGGGACGTAGAGGTTATAAGGGCTTGGGATGCTTGCTAAAATCGCTGTAACAGTGGCACCGTAGGCGCGGGACCAACAACTTTGGAACTCTCATTCAGAACCCCAGCGAGGGAGTTTCCAAACATATGGGACCTCAATATAGTACCTTAAATAGTAGGATCCTTATTAAAAGGACCCCAAAATAAGGTACCCCTTATTTTCGGAAACTCCCACATGAGTCTGAAGCCTCTAGTGACTAGTGCCTAGGCCCGGAACTACGGCCTGAACCGTCTTGACGATGCTCAAAGGGTAAAAGGAGGGACCCCTAGGTATATACCCATAATATAGCCATCATATACCCATTATACAGCCCATTAAAGGGTAGGGGTCCCCCCCGTTAAGGGTCCCTCCGTTTCCCCTTTGAGATGCCGGCTGCGCAGGGTCACCCAGAATAACCTTGACGCGTTTGTCTCCAGCCTTCAAGACCTCAAACTTAAACCATGAGTTGCGATTCTCCATAAGCAGAGATCTTCAGGGCGAAGATCCCGAATCAGCCCAAGCTCGAAACCAAAACACCCATAACCTCTGAACGCCAAGCCCCTAAGCTTTAAACCCTTAACCCTAAACCCTACACCAACAAAAACCTAAACCCCGAACTTGCTTCGATCAAGCTGCCGAGGCAAATTCTGCCACCAGCGGGTGCATGCGGTACTGGGTGTCCAAAAGGCAGGGCCTGAGAAGCTCATTCCCGTTTAAATGACAAGTGCTTACGGTTGATGATACAAATCCTTGCATTACCTCAATGACTCTAAACTCTGAGAATTATGGTATATTCCTAAATCTGGGTAATGCAGGATTTCTATCATCAACTGTTGTTGGGTTTTACGATATAGGATTTCAGTTTTGAGGTGGAGTAGTTTACCGGTCTTGCCTTCAGGTTGTCCACGGCTGTCGGGAAGAAGTATCATTGGCCTCCTACCCTGAGCCGTGTTAGCAATCATGCGTGGTTTACCCTAGGCCCGGCATTCCTCTTCCAGTCGATAGAAGGTGGGGCTCGCCAGTCTCTTTCCTAAGTCAGGAAACCCAAACGAACTGAGCAGTTTTGGAAATGCCGCAATTTGTCACTGTTACTCAAACGGCTTGTATTTCGAGCTAGCCCGGGACGGGTCAAACCAGTGGACCTAAACCCTCAACCCTAAACCTAAAGCCTAAACCCTAAACCGTCCTGTCCATCAGCACCTGAAGCCCTGGCACTCACAGGACCCACAGACAAGAGCCTCGCATGCCGAAGTCGTCACGCTGTGAAATTCTACGTTTGTCCAACAAGTGCAGTGTTGACGCAAGAAGAGGCTTAGAACCGCATGGAAGATAATCATGCTCATGATCAATGTCAACAACTAATTATTCTTCTTCTGTTTATTATTATTGCCATCATTACTTTTTGATATGACTAGTATTGCTGTGATTATAGCCAGAAACCGAGAAGACACACGTTCATGGGTACCGCATGTTGCGCACTCATCGTGATGATTGGCCTCCATCATAAGCAGTCATGATCATCATCGTCATGCGCGGTCTCATTGTCGCCATTGCCAGTGCCACCACCATCATAAAGATCATCCTGAACCGAAGCCCTAAACTCTAAACCCTAAACCCTCACCACCTAAGCCTAAAGAGCCCGAGACTAAGAACACAATAAAGGCTGAACCATCAGAATCCCTAAACTTGGAGATCAAGAGATAGCTTTTTGCTATTAGCCCGAAGAGCAACGAAGCGATTCTTAACGTGGGTTAGGGGCCAAGGGATATTCCGTTGATCAGTTTGGGCAAGAAGGGCTATGTCGGACATATGCAGGTCTGAACAACTGTCCTTGTATATGAACCATGTCCCCTAAACCCTAAACCTCTCTGAAACCCTGAGCCCCTAACCTCTCAGTCCCCAAGGCTATGAACTTATTCTACCCCCAGGTATATACGAACATTACAACGGAAACCGTAAACGAACCCTATTCAAGCCACTATGGGTCTGCTTGAAATTGTCGCTACAAATGCTACTGACATTTTATTGTTAAGAGGGCACCTATGCTAACTAAGACTCCGGCCGAACGCCCTGCGTCACCAACCGCGTAAACATCGACTCGCCGAGATTTTCTGTCTCGGCGACATCAGACAAGACCTGGCGCTTGGGGCTTGGGTTTAGGTTTAAAGGGAACTCCAGAAAGTTGGAATATGGTTTCAGGGTAGGATACCCTATAATTTACCATAAAGGGTTTAGGATAATCATATTCCAACTTTCTGGCTTTTACTATAGGGTGCAAGGTTTCGGGTTTGGGTTTGGGGCTTAAGGCTTTAAGCTTTTCCTGTGACCCCCCGTTCTAAAAAACAACAGCAGGCGATGACCCCCTTTTCTGTAGGGACTATCATCTGAAACAGAGCGGTTTCGGATCCTGAAATCGGGTTTCGGGTGAAGCTTTCGAAACCATTTTGCGGGCGTAATAGCTTAAGCCAAAACCCCAAACACCCTTATCCCCAAGCCGTAACCTTACACCCTAAGCCCCGGAGAAGCAGAGCCGAGGGGGCTGTGGGTGGCAGCTGGCACTGGTCACCGATCAGGATTGCTTGCTGGCAACCTCTGGCGATCGGCACCTCAACACTCATCTGGGAGTTTCCGGAAATTAGGGGCACCTTCGAAGGGATCCGTTATTCCTTAAAGGGTTCTATACAGGGTTTAGGGTTTGGGAGTTTCCGAAAATTAGGGGTACATTTTTTGGCCCTATAACCAGGATCCTAATATTTAAGGTACTGTACTAGGGTCCCCGATTCTCGGAAACTCCCATCTTGCGGTGATTGTATTCCCTACTTGGAGGGTCATGGGACGTAGTATGGCTTCAGGGCCCGTTTAAGGGATCTGTAGGGGTGCCACAAGGTTTTAGGGTTTGGGGGTTTCGTACTTTGGGGCCATTGTGGGTTCCCAAAACCACGATCTTCTGGGACCGGATACCATGATGGTGGTATATTCCATAATGGGAGTTTCCGAAAGTGAGGGGTACCTGATGATATTGGGGTCCCTATAAGAAGGGATTCTGCTAACTATTTCGGGTACTATACTAGGGTCCCCTACTTTCGGAAACTCACATCTTGCGGTGATTGTACTCCTTAAGGGCCCATGTACTCAAATAGGGCTCCATGAAAGGATCTATTAAGGGTTCCTAGAAGGGTTCTATACCAGGGTTTTGGGTCAACAATCATCCTGTGCTGATTGTAGTGTTCTGTAGGGCCTGAGTTTGTCGAAGACGGCTTAGGGTACATTTAGTTTTGTTACAGTAAGGAACCCACAGGAACAATATTGGTAGTTATCAGGAGTTTCTGTTTTAGGGCTCGGGGCGTGGCTTTAGGATTTTGGCGCGAGGGTTTGGAATGTACCCAGAGCCCAGTATCCTTAGTTGGGGGTGCCCCTCAAATCACGGCAGGAAGCCCTAGACAATTTTAGCAACAACCCTTCTTTGAGCGCATATCCCCTCAAGGCCTGATAAAGGGCTCGCTGAAGTTCCCCGATTCTTGAGTTCAGACTTATAGTTGTTCAAAGACACCAAGAAGGATGCTGTTTGTGCCGAGACCATCACATGCAGCTGCTCTTTCTGCTTGGGTTTCGTGATTAAGGCGCTGCAGTGGTACCCCTCCTACCTAGTTCCCGTCTTTATGGCTACTTACCACGGGAAAGTAAGTAAGCTTGAATTGGCTGATCCCCCTCCCCCCCCCACCCAAAAAAACAAAAAACACACTTCATTACATAGTATGGGCAGGGCTACTGGCAATTGCAAATTGCGACGAAGAAGCCAATGCTGCTGTCTCCGCTGCTTGCGTGCACTCGTCCACGATGACGGTGGGAAAACGAACCTGCAAAAACATCCCAAGCCAAAACCCAAAGCTTGACCAGTAAACTCAAACATAGGAACTTCGTTAAGACACCTTGGCCCTATAATCCCAAAACAATAGATATGTATATATATATATATATATAGGAAGAACCCTATTAAGGACCCAAGGTTTTAATCAGGTTGCCATCTTATCCTCGACTTCCTAAACCCAAGAGGCTGACTTCGAATAGAGGCATTGGAGTTTCAATGGAGGTTCTTGGGTACTAGGCTTTTCGGGGCCTTCTTTGTTTCAGGGATCAGCTGCGGTTTGTGCATTTCTCCGGACTCATCCGGATTTCAAATTTCAGAAATCCGAAAGTTCCCTAATACAGGGACCCTAGAGTCTGAGGCGAAGGCTTTGGGGTTGTTCTTGCGCAAGTATGGGAGTTTCCAGAAATTAGGGGTACCGTATGTTGGGATCCTTATAATCAGGATGCTACTATTTAGGGTACTATATTCGGGTACCCTAGTTTCGGAAACTCTCGTATAGCTGCAAAAAAAATTGTATGCAACCCCTGGAGAAGCAGCGGGGAGGTCCGAATTTAGAGGCTGTGCGAGACAACGTATTTCGTGTAGACGGGACCTATGTGCACTGAGGTCCCGGACCTAGCATGCCATGTAGTGCACGGCGCAGCTCAACTGTTTCTGACTTGTAAGATCTGCCTGTGAGGCTACGCAAACAGGTTGAAAGCAACATGTACTAAACAGCATCCGGAACCAACATGAAAGCCCCCCAAACCCTAAACCCCAAATCCCAAAATGAAAGCCAAACCGAAAAGATTTGGGACATGCTGCACACCAGTCTAGCATCGAACTGAACACGAAGCCCAGTACTATAGGGGCCTTAATATTTAGAACAAGATTTTGGGGCCAATATGTTACATTAAAAATAAGGAACCCCCAAAATAGTATTTAGGCTTCTATAGTGCCGTTCATCATGTTCGACTCAAAGTTTCATTGCCAGAAATTTGGCTGAATCTTTCTTCTAGCAGAATTTGGGCTGAATCTCTAAATTACCTGTTCTTGGGACCCAGGCCCTAAACCCTAAACCTTAGAAGCTGCCCCCACCCTGTAATAGCGACCATAAGGATTATATAGGATTATTTTAGGGCCCCTATTATACTCCTATTATACCACTATTACAGGGTGGGGGCAGCTTCTAACCTAAACCCCTTTTGCGCCTTGTCCAGGGTTGTGCCGGATGCACCGATGCATGTCGCACAAACCACCTCGGCCTTCTTAAGGTCCTGAAGCGAACAGGGTTTCTTAAGGTCCTGAAGCGAAGAGGGTTTAGGGTTTCGGGTTCGGGGCTGTCTTGCAAACTGGCGAAGAGATTTACGGATTTCGGGTTTAGTTTTGCAGTCCGCCGTCGTACTTAAGGCTAGTTCTGTCTTCGGATGCCCTTCAACGACAAGAAGATTACCTATTTAGGAACGAACAGGCTGGGCATTGTAAACATGGGCATCTCGCCTTCAACCAGTCCAGAAGGCTGAACACAACCCCAAGGCCTCATATGCCAGTGCGTTGTTGGGGCCAAAAACGCCAAAACATGGGTTTAGGGTTTAGGGTTTTGGGTTTAGGGGTATCGAAACACTGTAGCCTCAAGGGGTTTGCGGGAAGGGCATCCGCGATGAACATACTTGCTCCCTTCATGATCGCAAGGCTGCAGTTAGCGCGGATGCTTACTCTATGACTACTCAGAAAAATTTATCCTGAAACACAACCCATCAGACCCCTATGACACCAGACTGAAAACTGATGTGTATATATATATATATATATGTATATGCGTGTGTATATGTAGATATACATACTTGTTATTTCACTTCTATTTCACAAGTATACACACATGTACATAAGTAAGAATCGAAAGAAGAAGGGAAATAACAAGGGAAAGAGAGAGAGAGAGAGAGAGAGAGAGAGGGAGCGAGAGACAAAGATAAAGACAAAGAGAAAGAGAAAGAACAAGAGGAAGATAACGAGAAAGAACAAGCGAAAGCGAAGGACGATAACACAAACCCCTATTCTGACCGCACTGAATTCATTTTGCATATGTGTCGATTTGCTCACCATGCTTGTGGCCTGATCATGGCAGATGCTAGGGTTGGGAGGCTCAGCTGAGTCACAGCCTAGACATGCGCACAGGCTCGAGAATTCTTATGCAGCCCACCGCACCTCGACCCCCATCAACCCTGCCTAAGCTTACAGCCCATAAAACCTAAATAATCCCCTGTACCCCGGAGCTCTAATCTATCAGGGGCACCTTGCGGGTCCTGGTATGGTTTACAGCAACTTCTTCCAGGAAATCTGGGAGCACCCAAAACCCAAACCTGCCTTCGGGACTAGGGTTTCGGGTATTAGGAATCCCTTTAGAAGCCCCCATGCACAATACGATTGCAAATTCAGCAAACACTCACACAAAACACGGAAGGGCTCCCGCGTTTGCATCTGTTTTTGAGCGTTTAGCAAGAGCGGGATTTCTACTCATTTCTACTCTGTAGTCTTCGTGCCCCTGCAGAAAAAGTTTCACGCCCTTACTTACACCCCACTCAAACCTAAACCCTAAGCCCCTAAACCCTACTTAACCCTGCACCCTACTTAAACCTAAACCCTGAACCTCTAAACCCCAACCCCTCCTTAACCCTAAACCGTCCTTCCAGCGGCCATCAAGGGCATAAGCCTTCACATCTTCGCGGATGGCCTCTGGCCGACCGACTCGGACGATGTTCACCCCAGTCTTTCCGATGCCCTGCGGAGGCTTAGGGTAAATGGCTTCGGGTGTAGGGTTAAGGGCCAAGCTTAGGGGAGTTTGGGGTAGCTCTTCAGGGTTTAGAGAAAAGAGGTTAGGGCAAAACAAATCTTACCCTGTCAGAGTTTAGAGGTTAGCGTGAGGGGGTTCATGGTTTGGAGCGAAGGCTTGGGGCTGTTTGCTTTGTGGGAGAATGGGAGGCCACCGGCGCGGAGGAATTGAAGGCTGTAGATCTTCAGATGGCTTGAGGCTCTTGCGGAAGCTTGTATTGGGGGGGTAGACTTCGGGATTAAGGCATTCGACTCAAGGTTCTCTTTATGGGCTTAAGAGTTGGATCAGGATGTTGAGGCATGTCTCCTACTAACTATGGATATGCTAAGTTTGACGGGAACACGCGCTAAACCCTAAGTTTCGAGCCGCCCTGCCACTGACATCAGGAGCCAAGGACCCTCACTCAGGCAATAGGGGCCCGGTTCAGGGTGGATTGTTATTTGGGTAGTTCTCTAAATTCGGGTCCGCTTTAGGTCCTGTTGAAAAGGGTGCCGTACTAGTCTTCCAAACAACCCATGCCAGAAGGATCACAAGTACCTATCTCGTAGAATGTAGGGTTATATTGGGAGTTACTGTTCTGATTCGGGGAAGTATCCCCCATAGCAGAACCTAGGACCCATTGGGGAACACCATATCCGTCACCACGGCTTGAGATGGACCTGGCTTCGTGGCCCTTGTCTTGTGGCGGCTCTGGCTTGCCACTCACTTATCGCTGTGGTTCAAAAGGGGTCTAGGGTTACACTGTTAGGGGTTAGGGCAGGTGCAACAGCTTATGCTTCTGCAGCATATGCTTTGGAAGTGCGGCCAGGGTTCGTGCAATTCAGCCGCAAGACTCAAACCCCGGACTCGTGTTCGTGTGACACCAATTCTTCAACCACATGACGCCACGGTTCTGTACCAGTAGACCTAAACTCCAATCAGCTCATCGATCTAGCCCTGAAACTTGCACTAGAATCCTTGCAAACCGGCACCGTGCCTTGACTAAGTTGTCCACGGCCGTGTTACTGTCGGCAGTAACAAGAATTGGTAGATCCACCAAGCCATACCTAGGAATTGTGGTTTAAGGGCATAGGATTGGGCACCCGGTGAAGGAATATGATCAAAGTGGTTCGGGTTATGCTGTCTTGATGCTTGTTGTCGGCGGCTAAGGGTTCGGGGTGAGCTGAATAACCGATCAAACCCTGATTTACTACTAACCGATCAAACCCTAAGCACTAAACACACTAAACCCTAAACCGTATCACTAAACCCATGATTTATAGTGCCGTGGGTCTCGAGAACAAGATGCGGGAAGCAGCCAGTTTCATGACACTAGAGCTGGTCGACATCAACGTTTGAAGGTCCCCAACTTATAGGAAGCTTAGGCTTCAGTAGGTTGGTCCTTTCAAAAACTTTAAAGCCTCTGAGAACTTGTCGTAGATGGATCCTCGCAGGCCCAATCAGCGAAAGGACAAACTGTCTTAAAGGCCTACCTACCTAGAAGCAAAACTTTGCACTGCTCATGAATGATGGAAGGCCTGGGGTACATTAATTCCACACCCTAAACCCTAAACCGTGATACCCGGTCTAAGGCTTAGGGATTCGGGCTTAGGGCTTTTCGACGCCCAGTTGCCGGACCATTGCCGCGACAATCTGAACTGCTGTCGTGGTCTTACCAGTTCCGGGGGGGCCCTGAATCAGCGTCAGCCGCCGAGTAGAAGACAAAACCTGAGATTCGGCTTAAGGGCGCGGAGTTCAACATTCAACGGGACACCACAAGCCCCAAAACTTAAACGTAAAACCACGTAACCCGAGTCGCCAAGCTGAGCTGTTGAACCGGTTCAAAAGAAAAGCGTCATTGGTTTACTTGGAGGACTACACCTCCTAACCCCTATAAACCCTAAACCCTGAACCCTAAACAGGCCCTAAATCCTACATCCCCCTTGCCCATTCATGAACCCTAAACCCTACTGTTGATGATAGAAATCCTGCATGACCCATAATAAGGAATATACACCATAAGTCCTACAAACCCTACCATCCTCAAGCCCTCGAAAAGCCCGACCCCGCAACCCGAAGCACTTTCGAGAGAAAACCCGAAACCCTGACGCACCTACGCCCGAAACCCTCGCAACTTACCTACAGTATGCATTGTAGTTCCTCTTTGTGGGTTAACCAAGCTTGTTTATAGTATATGACCCTAGCCCTAACCATAAAAGTCGCGAATTAACCAAAAAAGAACTACGATGAAGACTACAGGTAGAGCTCCGAAGTCCTAAACTCGTGAAAACGCTAAACCCTGAAGCTCTGAAACGCCCCCAAAAGCACGAATGTATTCAAACAACCCGGAAGCTCAACACCAGAACCCTGCGAGCCTGGAGCTAGCAGCATGTTCTCCAAAAAAACGAGGGTCCGTTAGGGTGACCCTAAACCCTAAACCCTGAAACCCTAAACCATTAGTATAGGGTTCCGGGTGCTGCAAGACGATCACACCGCGATGTTTCAGAGCATGACTTGTTGGATGCTTCTTTTTTACGTCCTTCTCTGTGTCGCAATCCACAGGTTCCAACCTATCTGCCTGGCTGTATGCGTCATCCATTTGTATGTATCCCTAAGGGTCCATGTACTCATATAGTAGATACTTTGGCCTTAAAGGACTCCCTATATAGTTACATTGGGCCCAAAGTATATGCTATATGGGTACATGGACCCTTAGGGTATTTGCCTGCATGGTTCCCTACAGAGTTAGAATATCATACCTGGACCCCCAAAGTATGTAGAATAATGGCATTGGGCCATTAATTTACCTACCTTGGGGGGTTTAGGTAAGGGTTTCGCGATAAGGATACCAGAAAACTCCGGCGCTGTGAGGGCTCGAGAACCCTATGCAGATCCCTCAACCCTGCCAGAAAACCCCACGGCCCACAAATCTTAAAGCCTTAAACTCTGAACCCAAACCATAAGAACCCTGAAGCGCTAAACCCCCAAACCCAAATCCTAAAGCCCTCAACCCCAAACCCCTAAACCCTAAACCCTAAAAGACCCCAAAACCCAAATCCTAAAGCCTTGAGGCTCGAAAACCTCTCAAGACGCAGGGGTTTCAGGGCAGTTTTGGGGGTTTCTCGTCCATGGCCATGGAGCTAGCGCTTCAATCTGGCTCTTGTTGAGCAAGTGCGCATAAACATGCTTGGCCTTGCTGACAACAGAAGACATATGGGTAGTTATCAAAATTAGGGTTTCTTTTTGGGTACCCTCAATCATAGGTGCCGTATTATAGGGACCCAAAAAGGGACCCTAATTTTGACAACCACCCATATAAACCCTAAACTCTTGACTTGCGGATTTATGGTTTTGGTCGCGAGGTCCTTGGGATGAGACTAAGTGTAAGCGTCCTTATATGAGTAAGGCCGCAGACATACGGTATCAAACCTGAAAACGAAGGCTACGTATTCTTTAGGGCTTAGGCTTCAGGGGTATAGAGCTTGGCCTCAATTGAAGATTCTCCTGCTGGAAGTCGCATCCCTGCATTATTTGGTCCTGAAGCTTGCACGATTCTCCTCAGCTTATGCACCATACGGACACTGCCTCTATCGGTCAGTGTCGTTTCGACAGCAAGCCTGTTCATGGACAAAACCCGACATAGCCCTAGGTGCCCTGAACTACGTGGAGGATCATGGGACTTAGTAAGTAAGGTTATAAGTACCTTAATTGGGGTGACGAGTAATTATACGTGTGGTTACCCGACTTATAATCCCAGTTACTATAAGTCCCATGATCCTTTAAGTATGGGAACTAACGCACATTCCCTGTGTAATACGACATGATGGGTTACATGCCCCGTCGGATCTCCAAACCTGGGTAGTTGTCAGAAGTAGGGCCCCTTTTTGGGTACCCTAAAGGTTTAGGCTTTAGGGTAAATATTAAGTGTGCCGTATTATATTATATAGGGGGGGAGGTACTTTGACAACCACCCACCTGCATATTGGAACAGATCCTGGGTCCTGTGACCACCTGGAACCGCAACCCCACAGCGCCCACATTTATAGTACCTATAGTCTCCATTGTAGTTCCCTTTTTTGGTTAACCAGTTTTATGGTTAGGATCCTATAATAGTGTCCATTGTAGTTCCTTTTTTTGGTTAACCCAAATCTCTATTATAGGATCCTAACCATAAAACTGGTTAACCAAAAAATGGAACTACAATGGAGACTATAGGTAGAAGCCAGAAAGTTGGAACATCCGTATGCTCATGCCCCTGGGGTAAAGTATAGGGGATCCCAACACTCTTCATCCTAAACCTACTGTTGATGGACAAAATCCTGCATGACCCTAAGGACTCTAAACTATGGGAATTATGGTATCTTCCTTATAATGGGTAATGCAGGATTTGGTCCATCAGCCGTATGTGCCAACTTTCTGGGGTTCAGCAAGCCCAGGAGGGCTCCAATCTCCTAAATGGTATAAACTACTACAAGGTTGAGGGTTCTTCTAGACCCAAGAGTAACCCAGGCATAAAAAGGATGCCCTTTTTGGTTTAAAGGGGTTTATAAGGGAACCTGAACCCTAAAAAAGGGAATAAGGGCCTACTCTAGGTCCTAGTCTTAGACCCCCAAACTACCCTCCAATATACCCACTATAAGGGCTCCATGAAAGGGCCATTCGGGGGTCCTGGTTTAGGGTGTATAACTTTAGCTTCGGTGTTTAACCCAGTAACCCGCAGTTTCCTAACATGGTAATTAATAATTGAAATAAAATAAGCCGTTGGCCTCAGTATGAAACAAACATGAGACTTCTGGTCCGGGCTCATGTTTCACCTTCGGATCTTTCCATATACCCAAAGGGCCTGTTAATGGTAGAGCATAGTAACTCCAGCACCCCTTTCGGATATAGAATAGACTTAGGTCTCAGAGTGCGTGTATAGGAAACCTGTCAAGGCCGAAGTATATACATGGAGTGAGGGCGTGCACTGCGTGATCAGAGGCGGCAGGTGCAGATTGGATGCAGATGTTTGGTATCTAGGGCCACTCTGCGTCTGAAGGTTTAGGGTGTTGATGATGTCGGAGTTTTGGAAGGCACTGCTCATGCTGCGAGTGCTTGACATACGGGGGCCGCGAAGCGACTTCTCGTCGAACGAAATCCTAAAGCCCCATCGCAAATCATGGGGAGAGAGATCCAATAAATCGAGAATGTATAAAGAATCCTGACTGACCCAAGACTGGCGCAGGCGGCGCTTCCAAGAATCCACCGACCACGCGACCGGCTACTCATCCGGCAGGTTCGGATGTAGCCAGCCACGGTACAGGTTCAAGTCTAGAGGATGAGAAAGTCTAGAGGATGAGAATCAAAGTCCAGGCTAAACTCCCCAAAAGATGCGATAACACCAGAGACACTAACAACGCCCTCTTGAAGCCAAAGCCCCCGCCCTCAAACAAAAAGCGCAACTCAACGCGAACACATCTGGGGTGGCCTCCTGGTTGAATTGTTGGAGGCCATCCAGCTTTGACTTGCTGCCGCTAAAGTCCACGGACTCGAGAGGCAAATTCTGCAAGCCCGCCTGCTTTCAGGTGGTGGGTTTAGGGTTTAGGGGTGTATACAGGGGTTTGGGGGTGGAGCCTCAACAACTCCCACTGTTTTGGGGCTGCCTAGTATGATTGCCTCATACAAGACCCCTAAACAAGACAGGAGATGTTTAGAGCTCAGGGGACTACTTCCAGGGGCATCTTCAACCAAACTTACTAAACCCCAACTCCCAAGACCCCAAACCCTGAACCCCAACTCGCAAGTGAGAAGCCGAATGAAACCCTTAGCCCTAAAGCCGCTGAGCAGCAATCAGATCCACCTATTTCACTAATTTCCTTGTTAAGAACTGTGCCTCCGGTGCGAGGTGCTCCACACTCTACACACATCTTAAGGGTTTGGGGTTTGGGTTTGCTGAATTCACACGCAAGGCTTTGACGACCTACAAAGGATGCTGCTTAGTTCTACTTAAAGGATCAAGGGACTTAGTACCTAAGGTTATTATTAGGGTAACTATACTTATAACTACCTATAACCCCAATTAAGGTACTTATATATAACTAAGTCCCATGATCCTCCAAGTAAGCAGGGCTTCTTGCTATGTGTCGCCACCTAGAGAGCCTCAACATGCCTCAATTCTAATTCATGTGTGCTGGCACCTTGCCTCACTGCTTTAGCAAACTACGCATAAGCTGGGTTCAGGCCCAGTCAAGAGCTGGAGAGTACCGAACATTCGATGTTGCAGGCTTACTCTTGACCTTGAACCGGCAAAATGTAACCCTAAACCCTAAACCCTTATTATACCCTCAAACCTGAGAGCTAAAACGATCCAAATTTCACGACCATTCAGCGCTACCGAACCCGACAGTTCCGGGTTTAGGGCTCACGGCTAAGACCACTAACTCAAAAGTTTCGAATACCTGACTAAGATAATCACATACTCTCCCAAATACTCCCCTACACATCAAAAAACTCCTAAACCCAAGTACCAAGTTATTAAGTCCTTGGGGCCCTTAGGGTAACATCTGCCCTGATGTTGGAACCAGCTCGATTCTGAGGGTTCTGAGGCTGCTCATGGGGTTTCGGAAAAAGAGGGGACCAAAAAAAGCACCCTAAACAGTGTTGTTGATGATAGAAATCCTGCATGACTGATAATAAGGAATCTAACATAATTCCCATAGTTTAGGTCCTTAAGGTGATGCAGGATTTATATCATCAACAGTAGGATCCTTATATGATAAGGGCCCCAAACCCAGGTACCCCCTATTTGGGGAAACGCCCTCATTGCTCTGAGCCTGCTTCAGAGTCTTGTCCACGGGGTTCATGATGAGCTGCCTTTGGGATTAAGTAACGAATTAACTTAACTGAGCAAGTAATTAGGCTAGTTAGCTAACTAATTGATCAATTAATGGTTTAGGGTTTATAGGGTGTTAGGGTGCTTGTTTTGCGAGATGCTTTAAAAGTGTAGAGTTGCTCATGATGAGCTTCCTCGGGTTTAATTGGGGTGAGGGTTTAGTTCGGGTGTAGGGTTTGATCAAACAGGGCTTCGGGTTTACGGTTTAAGGTTCAGGGAGCTGCAAAGCTTTCGGTGCTTCTATGAATCACCGGGATAATTGGATTTCAGGCCTCAGGCTAGGGTTCTCTGTAGGGCTGCTGCCGGGGATTGTAGAGCCGGAGGTGGTTTAGCTTTTAAAAGCCAACTCGCTGTAGGATGCCGAACTCTCCGCCAGCTCAGGCATATGGCCTGGGCCTAAAATGAAAAATCAGGCATCTGTTAGTCCGCAAGCTACGAGTTTGGAGCCCTGCACCCTAAAACCTTTTTTTTTTTCCGCGTGAAGCTTGAGCCTCACGCAGGCCTGTCGGTGGCTCCCATTGCTTTTGTTTTGGTGGGGCTATACTCCCACACTGCAATTATGGCGGTCATAACCTACTATGCTGTAGGGTTAGGATCTTAGAGTGTCGGGGTTTAGGGTTTAAGAGGTTGGCATCCAAAGACAACAAAACAGTTTGTTTAAAATCCTGAACCCTAAACAGCTATACCTCAAGGGTCCATGTGCCCAAATAGTATATACTTTGGCCTTTAAGTAGTCCCTATATAGGTACTTTGGGGCTAAAGTATATACTATTTATTATATAGTTACATGGACCCTTAAACCCTAAACCCCGTTATAGAACCCTTTTAGTAACCTTATAGGAACCCTTGAAGGACCCTTGGGGAACTTTACTGCAACGGCTCCAGTGCAGGAAGGCGTCCTGAGGACTTCATGTGGAATCATTGGAGAGGGGTCGTAGGCCTCGGACGTCAGCATGTTTCTTGGGCGGTATTCTGCCATAACTCGGTGAGGCATTTAGGTTTAACAACACTAAAGGGAACTCCAGAAAGTTGGAATATGGATTAATGGTAGGATCCCCTATAATTTACCTTAAAGGGGTTCCGATAATGATATTCCAACTTTCTGGCTTCTGCTGTACCACTAAAACACAATTAGCAGCAACAGGACTCAAAGACTCGGATAGACTAGTTTCCGAGGATCCGAAGCTCCCTGCCAGGCTTAGGAGAGCCATGTGAGCGAAGCAAAGGCATGCCAGGGTTTATAGTTTAAACCCGAGGAGTTTAGGTCAGGGCCTGCGCTTAGCTATGACCTCCTTGATCGGATCTCTAAGAGAAACGATACAAGTCTGAAGCGCTTAAGCGGTCCAGCGTCGAGGGTCAGTCTTAAAGGGTCCTAGGTACTGTTCTTGGGGGGAGGGTACTTCCCCAAGTCATAATAGTACTTCGTACTATAGAAGCGCTACGTTCTACTATATGGGTACTTAGGGCCCTTTGGGATTGAGTCTCTTCAACAACACGGCTTAGGCTTTGGGGCTTTAGGGCGTAGGGCAAGGATTTGGGGCTACTAGGGGTCCTTTATGGTTAAGGCCTGAGCATTCTCTCAAACCAAAATGCTGACACATGCTCTCATTTGGCGCGCAATTGTCAAGCTCCGAAATGTTTCGGCTCCCTCTGCGTTGTAGAACGAAACATGTAACCCGAAAACAAACTCGGACCCCACTCTTGTAGACTTGGGGCCTGAGACTTATAGCTAGCAAACTGCAAGCACACCCCGACGAAGTCTTACGAGTCCTGCATGCCAGCGCCGCGTCACAAAGAACAGTATCTCCACGACTGGAGTCTACGCTTAGGGTGTGCGCGTTTAGGTTATGGTTTAGGTGCCATGGAAATCACTCTGGACTGCAGACTCGCAAACAAAAGCGACAAAAGCGGAACCATCACCAACAAGAGAGTTTCGCGAACATCCGCCTTAAGCCTGCCGGCCATTCTCTTTCTCACCCCCAAGCTCAAAAGACTAGACCCAACCCCATGATCCAGAACTTAAAGCCTAAACCTAATTTCAAAATCCAAACCTTAAAGTTGAGACCTATAACTGCCAAACCCAAAACTTAAAGTCTAGACCTATAATTTCAAAATCCAAAACTCAAAGTCTAGACCTATATTTTCAAAACCCAAAACTTAAAGTCTAGACCTATAATTTCATAATCCAAAACCTTCAACCCTGGTCATTCGCCCTGGGCGCTGGGTTTTTGAGGATGACCTTCAACGCCTCCAGCATTCGCCTCGCAAGTCGGACTCTCTACGGTTTCATCCTTCTCTCCAAGGGTAAAAGGAGGGACCCTTAATAAGGGCCCCTAGGTATATACCCTTAATATAGCCGTTATATACCCATAATATAGCCCATTTCGGGTGGGGGTCCCCATTAAGGGTCCCTCCTTTTCCTCTTTGATTCTTGTTGAGCTCCATTTCTCCGGGTCGGCGGCCCAAGAGCACACCTGGCCCTAAGAAGCCTACCTTTTCAGGGCTCCTCATTGTAACTTTCTGATATACGACCTTAAAAAATTTAGGATATGTAGGGTTAAGGAAAGCTCTATGGTTCAAGTTTCAGGGTTTAGGGTTCGGGCTGTGGGTGTGGGCATCTCAACACTAGCAGAGGGTACCTGGGGCAGGTTCTTCTGCATCTAGGTTACCTAGGGGCTACAGACTACAGAGGACCTGTACCTTGTTGCAGCTTCAAGTTTGAAAGCTTTTGGCGAAGGCTGGCAAGGCGATGATCGTGCTATTTGGGTCACATTGACCCTAATCGGTTCACGAGCCTGATAACCATATACTTTCCTACAGACAAACCGACATAGCTACTGAATACTATCCTGGTTGAGCTCGAGGCGCAGGATGTGCGGAGCCCTACGGTGTCCGAGCTTGATGCACTGTGATGTGCTCAGCTTCCACTGCTACTGCTGTGATTGAACTGATGGATTTCAGCCCTAAGCCGTACTCTAAACCCTGGACCCATTAAACCGTGTTTTTCGTTTGAGCAGATGCGCGCCGAACGCTCCCAGAGTACGAAGCCTGGTGTTCTTACATGCAATAGCTGGTCAAACAGTTGTTTCTGTTTTTCAATGTAGCTGGTGTTGGTCTCGCTGTAGGTAGGGACATCTCGCTTTTGCAAACAAACCGGGTGACTACCTATGCACTGAAACATGCAGCCTAAAGTACTGGTTTCTACACCTGCGCACGTGCTCATACAAGGATAACTGGAACTATTGTTGAACTTGATGTTTGCTAGCCTGAAGCTTACTTACTGTGTAGCTTAACACTACTAACCAACATTATGTAGCACAACTTCTGTCAATCAGGACAACAGTGCATCTGGGCAAACAGCTAGTGCTTAGTAAACTGTGCCTGTGCAATGCGGCAACGGTGGCGACGACGACCAGAAATTCTGAAAACAAAGATAGCAATATCACGGGCAATACATATAACTACAGGCTTAAGGGTTTAAGCGTTTAGGGCTCAGGATCTGGATGTAAAGATGTTACAAAGTAGACTTTCACTCCGTGACTTAGCCAAAACTCTGCAACGAATGCCCTAAACCCTGAGCCCTACACCCTAAACCGTTTGCCTTGAGCTAAAGGAGCAAGGTCCCCCCTTTAGAGCTTCCATACACCAGTATAGTTGCCCTGAAACAATGACTTCTCAACACCGTGTGTATAGCTACCCTTAAAGACTCTATAGCAACCCTAAGCCCCGAAAGTCCACCCCTCTTCCCCTCGTCGAACTCCGACCTGGTCTGATCTGTACTTGCAAGGCGATCGAGTCGATAGGTCCTCGGTCAAATCTAGGGTTCAGGCTTTCGTAGTTTCCCAGCACCCGGGTTTAGGGGACAGGGTGTTAAGGAGTGTAAAGTAGGGAGCTGAATAAATAGAATAGGGTTTTGGGGTCTCCTTATCATAGCTATAGCAAAATATACCCCAAGACCCTATTCTAATTATTAAGGCACCTATATTATAGTTCCAGATAGATCAACTATAGAACCCTTTTAAGCATCCCTTGAAAGAGAACCCTATTCTAATCATCAAGGCCCCTACATTAGCATGTAGAGTTCTCAGGGGAGTGCAGGGTGAACAAAGCGGCTCGGGGCTTTAGAGCTAAGGACTTCAAGGCGTTAGAGCTTTGGTGTGTAAGGCTTTGGGTTTAGGGTTTAGGGGTTTAGGGGTTTAAGGGTTTAGGGTTTGAGGTTTAAGGTTTAGGGTTTAGGGCTTAGGGTTTAGGGTTTAGGGCTTAGGGTTTGAGGTTTAGGGCTTAGGGTTTCGGGGCATGTGGAGCACAAGTGCCCAAGAGAGTTTTAACATACAATGGTCTGAGAATTTCAGAAAGTTGGAACAGGGAGTTCGGATGATCCCCCATACTTTACCTTGCGGGCATGAGAACAACGATACTCTGACTTTCCGGCTTCTACTGTAGGGTTCATGGGGTTCGCGATTAGGGTCATTATCCATTCCCCACATGGGTGGTTGTCAAAATTAGGGTCCCTTTTGGGTACCCTACATATTAGATGCCGTATTATAATAGGGACCCAAAGCGGGACACTAATTTTGACAACCGCCCATATCTGTTCGACCCATTCGGGCTCCTCCTCAGCAGTGCGCAGTTAAGGGTTTCTGTTTAGGGCGTTCACGGTTTAGGGACAGCACGAAACGCTGCGGCCAGCAAGAACTGTTCAAAGGGATCTCGCGCCCCTAAGTCTCTGAAGAGCTCAACCACCAAACCACGAACAAGTCGATGACTAACCTGGCACATTATAGCGGCCATAACAAGACTAATTACCACGGGGTTTTGTGGTTTGTTTTGTATGCCTAAAAGTGGGGACCAATAATAGGTAAGTTTGGTACTATTCAAGCCTTCATAGTACTCAAGCTGTAATGTTTATTCACGGATCTTTGGCTCTGGGCGTGGCGCGACCCCAGACAACCTTATGTCCGAACCGAACTGCGGCGTCCCATGCCCAATCGGATGGAACAGCCTTAGGTGGGACCTCGTACAACAGGACAGGGCGTAGTGTCTAGAAGCCTCTATTGACTTCGTCTTTGATAAAAAAACCCTAACCGGAAATGTATCAAGATAGACCCCCTAAGTGAAGCCCAGGAGCATGTTTTCTCCGAACTGCACCTGCCAAGGCTTCTTCGGAATTCGATGGCTTGGATGCCTGCTTTTTTCCCCGGCACCGAAATCCCAACCCCGGAAGCCTAAACCCTAAACCACTTCTTGCAGCACTTTCGCTTCCCTTCAACCCAAAACCCGAAAGTGTTGCCATGAGAGCGGACCATCTGTCAAAGGTTGTTCGAGGTGGGCTGGGTGTCTTCCTACTTGTGCTGCGGGTGCAAACACCTCTACCTTAGAAGCCTCGGAAGTAAACTCCTGTATGTGCCTCGGCCTGGAAAGCTTCTTACGGCAGCTTGCTTCCACGAGGTGCGCGCAATGTTTACGGCCCAGGAGACTTCGATACTAGTTCTCACATGCAGCTTTTGAGTGACCCAAAGAGCGAAATTAGTTTGTCCGGCTTCCAAACACAGGTTTCGGACTTGGGACATGTAGCAACCTGGGTCCTAAACCTCACAATAGAATCAGTGGCCTTCGGCGGCGATGTCAATCTCACGCCAAGAGGTGCCGTCTTGTCAGGCTGTGTCCTCAGCATCGCTGCATGGTTCAGGACATAGGCTAACCCAAAGGCTCCACGTACCCATATAGTAAGTACTTAGGCCTTAAAGGGGCGCCTATGTAGGCACTTTAAGGCCTAAGTATCTACTATATGGGTACATGGAGCCTTAGGGTAAGACTTAGGCTCAACCGCCTTCTGCAGCTCAGGCTTGCCCTACTAATCAACATCGCCCGTAGTCCAAGTACCCGTGCAACTCGGGCCAAAGCAGTCAACCCATATACAGCTTGTGAAGCCTTGAGAATCTTTTCTTTGGTTAAGGGCCTGTGGGAAGTTCTATTGTAGCACACGGCCAAGTCGTCGGAGCCGGTTGCTGGTGTGCCGGCTGCTGGAATTTACTGAAACTGGCATGTAGGAGCCTATGATCTAGAGGTTGTGAAGGGTGTGGGGCGCCGTGCCCCTTAAGTAAGCACTGCTTCTTGGATCGCAACAAGAAGCGAGGCTGAGTTTGGCATGTTGTGCCCACCTCACTGAACTGATGGATGAGCGGTTTAGGGTTTTATGGTTTAGGGATCAGGGCACCTGCGGGCAAAGCGACGCAGAATTGATAATTTCCACCTCCGCGCCGTCGCGAATGCGCTCGTAATCCTGTCCGGAACTAAAACGCAGCAGCTGTCGTCATGAATCTAAGGATCCTACCGATCGAATCTGCCGCCGTCTAGGATCGGCATACTTGCATCAACTCTGCTGGAAGTAGAGGTGCGGTGCTTGAAGGGTTGAAAGTCTTGAAACATATACATCGCAGGAGCTACCGGGCGAGTCGAATCCTAGGTACATGTATAGTAGTGCGCGGTCTCTGCACTCGCAAAAACAAACCCTGTGGCAGCTATGGTCTAGTATCCCAAAGTATGGGCTAATTGGCTTCCAGAGCTATGCCCTGAGACTCCACTACTCCTGAAGTAAGGAGTTTTCAAGAAATCGTTTTTGGGATCCTACTATGTTCTTAAGGTGTATTCCTTTATTAAGGGATGCCGGAGTCTCTGCTACTCCTTTAATGCTGCATGGGCCTTGAGGTCCCAAACCCCGCAACACTCAATACCCTGAGCCTGATACTACGTAATAAGCTACAAGTGGGGCTTATAAGAGGGTAACTATACATATTAGGGGACTTATAACCTTAGGGAATACCCAGGGGTGTGCGGCCTTCAGGGTCAAACGGACTTAGGGTTTGCTGAGATGCTGTGCTGCAGCCATGAGAATTATGCAATGTGGCCGCAGAGGACCGGCGCGTTTTGTCTGAGTGCACATCGACCTACACAAATCTCAAAGCAACAAACCACACTGGAACAAGTCCTGGTGGAGTTTAGGATTCAATGTAAGGAAGCAGACTTCAACACTTCTGCCCCGGATATGTATCACATCTTCGCCGTGAAACTCTACTCTGTCAGTCTGAAGATTTCTTGGATACCTGTAGGCATCATATCTACACGATCTCGACAGGCTTAGCTTGACCCGCGTAAGCCAGACAGTTCATGCACAGAGTAAGTCCGAGAGACTTCCAATTCAAAACTCTGGGTAACCTGGATCCAAACTACTTAAAGGATCATGGGACTTAGTATCTATACTTATAACTACTTATAACCCCAATTAAGGTACCTATAACCTTACTAAGTAAGTCCCATGATCCTCCAAGTAGACCAGGTGCCTCTTGACAGCCTCCCATCGGCAAAGCCTTAATGCTTCGCTAAACCCCGAACCCTAAGCCCTATCACCTTCAGCATTGAATCCCAAAGCTCTCAACCCTATAACTACAACTTATAACCCTGAAGCCATAAAACTGAATCCCAAAGCTCTAAGCCCTATAACTGTAACGACTAACCTTGAAGCCATAAAATTGGATCCCAAAGCTCCAAACCCTATAACTATAACTTCTAACCTTGAAGTCATAAACCCCCAAACTCTCACAGCACCTCACACACCAGGCCTGCGGAACGCGCTTCTGCATCTCGGGGTACGAGATGTCGACACCTGAATCTATACCCCCCCTTAGAACCATAATACTTAAAATAATGTTTTCTATATTCTCTTGGGTTTTGTATTAACAAAAACAAGAATAATTCCGAAGGAGACTATAGGAGTCATACTCGAAGGAATAATTGGACTGAGGATTCCTTCAGAGGTTCCTGAAGGGGTACTATTAGGTTACAACAGAGGCTGTAGCGGCTTAGAGGCAGTAGTCTGTGAACTAGTGCTTTGGTGTACAGTCCACAAAAACACAGCTAAGGATTGCAAAGGTCCACTACCTATAGTCTCCATTGTAGTTCCTTTTTGGGGCTACCTTATAGGATCCCAATTACTTTTTTGGTTAAACCAAACAAGGAACTACAATCGAGACGAAAGGTACAGCCTGGTATTCAGACCCTTCTGCTTCAGCGCAATTTGTGCGTTGGAAATCTTCCCCTCGTCCTCGTGAGGCTAGACCCATGCTAAGGGTCCGTGCGCCCAAATACAGTAGTATATACATTGGCCTTAAAGTAGTCCCTATATAGGTACATTGGGGCCAAAAGCATATAACATGGACCCTTGAACCCTAAACCCTATTATAGAACCCTGAAAAAAACCCTTATAGGAACCTTTGAAGGATCCTATGTGGGCACATGGACCCTTGGGACCCATCTCCAGGACATCGATTATGCCCGACCTTTACCAGGCCCGAAAGCTTCAGTGCTAAGATTCCTCCTTGCCTCGGCCTAGGCTTTAGGGGTTTAGGGTGTAGGGGTTTGGGGCTTAGGGGGGTAGGGACCCTCACGGAGGGTTTGCGAGAGACACTTCCAAGCCCACTCGGACGTAAGGGGCCACCGGACCAATCATTAACGTGCAAGCCTACCTTCAGATGGGCGTTGGTTCCTAAGACACCCTCACCTTTAGGGTCCTTGTAACTGAAGCGCAACCCTAGACCCCTAAATCCCTAAACCGTAAACCCCTACACCCCTAATTATACCCTAAACCCCCAAACCCCGAACCCCAAAATCGGAAAACCGAGGGTCTAACTAAACCCATACACCCCTAAACCCCTAAAACCCTAACCCAAAAGCGGAAAACTGAGGGCTCCGACTCATCAACGCGACGTCGGTCCTCTGGAAACCCATTCCGAAGACCGTCGGCTGGTAGAGTTTCTTGCCTTTGTCGTCCTGGGTTTAGGGGTCTGATTTAGGGTTCAGGCTCTAATTTAAGGTCTTATGAAGGGTTTAGGGGTTTAGGGGTTAGGGATTTTTAAGGCTTAGGGTCTAATTTAGAATTAAGGGATTTAGGGTTGAGGGTTGAGGGGGTTAGGGGTTTAGGGTTTAGAGGTTTGGGGCTTAGGGTTTAGAGGATTTTAGGGCTTAGGAGTTTGGGGACTGAAGATGGTGTGCTGGCTTTCGGGGAGTTAAGTCTCCGAGGGGTATACGACCGAATTACCAGAGACAGTAATGCAATAAGATGCAAGTACTTCTTAGACTGAAGACATAATCCCAAAGAGATTTTGAACTTTCAGTTCCATAGGGGGTGGTAATATCCGCAAAAGTGTAAACCATGTACCACCTGATGGAGACTCTATCCATGAACCTATGGAATAGTAGCCCGCTGTAGCCCCAAATCTTACAGAATGGGTTAGCACCCCGTAACTATGTGAGTCAACATGGGCCATGGGCCGTGACCATCGGAATAGTGAGAGATTGACGCCAGGGGAAGTGAAGACGACTGTTCCCCACGGAGGGTCCATCTGGCCATGCTTTGACAACTTGAATAGCTGATGCCCAGACTGTTCAATCCCCTAATTGAGGATTAGGATACCTCATTTTGAGGTCCTCACAATAAGGGTCCTACTATTTAGGGTACTATATTAAGGTCCCCTATTGTCGAAAACTCCCAGATTACCCTCAAGGTCTATATTAAACATGTACGGGGGACTTCTGAGGGGGGGGGCTCAGCCCTGGCATGCGTGGGAAGGCCTCGTCTGGAGACTCTCATGATGAAACAGCTGTAAGGGTTCTGTAGGGTTTAGGGTTTATAAGGGTCCATGTACTCAAATGGTATATGCTTTGGCCCCAAGTACCAGAAAAAGGCACTACTTTACGGCCAACGGGTACATATAGACCTTGAGGGTTATCTGGGAGTTTCCGACAATAGGGGAGCTAATGTAGTACCTAAATAGTAGGACCCTTATTAGAAGGACCCCAAAATAAGGTATCTTAATTTTTGGAAACTCCCGAAATCTCGCAAAAAGGCATGCTAAATTCAGGAGCTGGCCCATGTAAACACGGTTGTCTGACACCTGATAAGCCACTAACTTTCGGGATGCTTCAGTGCGGGCTGAGGGCTAGTTAGGGTTTGGAATTGAGGCTTATAAGAAACAGGCCTAATACCGCAGTTCTCCAATGGGTGTTGAAACTTCGCGCTCCTGCCACTATTGTCTCTACCCATAGGCCGCATAGTAGTTCCTTTTTGGGATTACCTTATGGGATTCTATATATGAACCACGACAAGGAACTAGTTTGGGGCCTACAGGTAAAGCCTCCCTGGTGCAGGCCAAGATGCCGCCCTGTTATAGAGCGAGTAGCTCTGCGAGCTGGACCTTGCAACGCGTGGGCTGCAAGATGCTGACTCCGTTATTGGGTTTTGGAGTTCTTAAGTTTCCTGTCTTCTAAATTTGTCGGATGCCTTAGCTGAAGCTAGCTCTAAAGTCACCCTGGAATTACGGAAGAAGAAACTTGAACTACACAGCACTTTCTTCCTCGTAGTGCATACAGGACCCTGGTGAAGCAAAACCCTTCTGGTACCGGCTCTACTTAAAGGATCAAGGGTAACTATACTTATAACTGCTTATGACCCCTAATGGGTGCTTATAACCATACTTACTAAGTCCGATGATTCTCCAAGTAGGATCCAGGGATGCTTGGGGTGTATTGTTTAGGCTTAGGGAACAACCACATGAGACCACCGAAGAGCTGCCTCCGGTGATGTCTCTGAACCCTAAACCCCTGAACCCTAAACCCCTACACCCTCAACCCCTAAACCCCTCAACCCTAAACCGTAAAACCCTAAATCTGTTTATGGCCATGGCTCTCGTATCCTTCGCAAGCCACCCACCCGGACTGATTCTCGTCTGCTGTACCCTGAAGCATGCAACCCACGATCATGCGAAAGCTACACCCTAAACCCTAAACCCTAAACCAGAGTTCAAAACTCTCACTGGTTGGTAGTGAAATGTATTTATGGATAGGTACCTCTGCCCTATTATAGATCCATGATAGAACCCTTTTAAGGATCACTATAAAGGAACCCTAAACTCCCTAAACCCTAAACCCTTAAAGGATCCCTTTAAAGGAACCCGAAAGTTTCCCAAATTGCCACAATGAACTTTGAAAACTGCTGTGGTGCTATTTGTCGGAAAGCCCCAGGGTCCATGTACCCAAATCGTATTTACTGATAGGAGGCCAAAGGGGGGGTTTAAGATTCTTGGGGTTGGGATTCCTTTATATGAACCCTATTATGGGAACCCTAATCCCTACTAAACCCCCATAGGCTAAAACCCCTTTTGGCTTCCTATGATATACTTCGGCCACACAGTGGGTACCATATAGGGACTACTTTAAGGCCAAAAGTGTATACGATTTGGGTACATGGACACTTAGGGAAAGCCTTCCGCCATTCTTCGCAACACTGGCCGAAGTCCTGGACCAAAGTATTATAACCGTGACGGTGGTAGTGATAACGGCGAGCAAGTGCTTGTGCTGCTGACAGTAGTAATAGACATGATGATGACAATGACGATGTAAACACTGGTTGTCGCGATCATGGTGAAACATGTTCCTCAATGCAGTCGTTATTTTTGCTGCACGCCAGACTGGTCGGCTGCTTAACCCAATCTGGGTGGAACACCTTTTCATTTGTTAACCACAAGTCCATTTCCAATCCAGGACATCCCAAATGGAAGAAAGTCTTCGCAACACCACGTAACAATGATGCGCGACTCGTCTTTAGTACTCGGAGGCCTCAAAAGGTGGGATGAAGGTGGGTAGGATCAAGGATCCCTTATACAAGGACTCTCGTTTGGGAATATCCCACCTACCTTCATCCCACCTTTTGAGGCCTCCGAAGTACCTCGAGACCTTGGTCCGATCTACGTCGCGGCAAAGCCCGGATTTCAAGAGAAAACCGAAAGCTGCCACTTTGCAAGATGTGCTGCATTACTTTTCCTGGAACCGTAAAACCGAATCACCCCGAGCGTGCTTGAACCAAAGCCCGGAACCTCAGACCGACTTGTGGGCAGAACTTAACCATCCCTGCGGCTTTACATTGACATACATTCTGTGCTGTTGTTAAGGATCATAGTTTCAGCTGCCATAATGAGTAACTCGAAGTGTTACACCATCATGAAGATGGCGCGGGGGGGGGGGGGTCTCAGTGCACTCGCACACCCATACACACACAAAATATATGTATGTATATATATATATATATATATATACATACAGAATAGACAGGTATCCCGCCCGAACAAACCAACAAAGATTCGGCCAAGCTTGCTCGAGTGCTACGGCACGTGGAGCTGGGCTGTGGGAGTAATGGTAGTAGTACGCATACCTACGTACATACCTACCAACCTACGAACATACACATACAGGTAAAAACGGTAGATAGACGCAAAGATAGACAGATAGGTAGATAGGTAGACAGACAGAGAGCTGGGTAGGTAAGTACTTAGGCAGGTTGGTGGACAGATGCATGCGTGCATATGTAAATACGCATTCCTATGCTTCCGAACATGACCGCACAGTAACGTGACAATGAAGGCCAGAAGCGATGAGCGCAGCTCGTCCTCATGTTGCACTTGCTTGTTCGGTGAAGCTGTGTATATCGTCGTTGCTGGTGTTGTTTCATGTTTGCTACGAAACCAAACCTGGTCCCAAACCACAAGTACAGCCCTAGCCACCTGAAGCCGATCCCTTAACGCGTAAACCCCAAACCCTACACCTCCAGACCCTAAACCTTACATCCCTAAACCCCAAACCCTAAACCCCTAAACCCCAAACTCTAAACCCCTGAGCCGTAGCTCTCCCTCTCTGGGTGGAAGGCTGTTCCCAGTGCATGTGCATGTCGAGCTCAGTGTGGCCTGCAAGGCTTCAGGTTTAGTGTTTACGGATTGATAAACAAAGAGGTTAAGGAAGTCAAGGATATACATAACTCCCAAAACAGGCAACATGATGGCAACTTTTCTGCATACTTTGGGGGTCCAGGTTGGGCTTGTGCATTGAGGCTTATAAACAACATCTAGGGTTATAGAATTGAGGCTTGAGGGCTTTAGGATGCAAGGTTCGCGCTGCTACACAGTGTTTGGCCGGGGTAGAAGCAGTTTTCAGAGCCGAGATGTGGGTGAGGGTTCCCAGAGACTCCAATATCCCTTAATTAAGGCATATTCATTAAATTAAATCATATTAGGGATCCTACTATAACTTAAGGTATATTCCTAAATTAAGGGATATTGGAGTCTCTGGGTTTAGGGCTTAGACTTTAGGGGCTCGTATCAGGGTCTTTGATTGCAACAGTGATCCTCCTTGTCCGGCTCTACATTACGGCCCCTTGTCTTTTCTGCGGTTTAGGGTTTAGGGTTTAGGGTTTAGGGTCCGATTTCGGGATGTCCGAATTGCCTTGGCACCTCTGAGAAGACCGCTCCCAAGGGAGTGCCACCGAAACTCAAACCCTGAATAAAACACAAGTTCCAAAACAACCCATAATCCCGAGCCCTAAACCCTATAAACCAAAGCCCTACACCCCAAAACCCTAAGCTGTATAAACCTAAACAAACCACGCCCTAAAGCCTAAACCTT